GGTGTCGTGCTGTGTGCTCCGCTGAGCTGTCTTCTCCGGTGTAGATCACTGTGACCGACGAAGTCAGTAACCCGTCCTTTCTGGACCTGGTGAGGACCCCCCAGATGAGGAAGTGCACGCTTATACTTATGTTCGCTTGGTAAGTGCCACCGCGCCCCGTTGGAAACGCCCGTGTCAGACTTACCACCGCGCCCCTGCCCCCCACCGGGCAGAAGCCCCTCTTAGGTTGTGTCCCTCGCCCCCGGTGCCGCCGCAGGTTCACCAGCGCCGTGGTGTACCAGGGCCTGGTCATGCGCCTGGGCCTCGTGGGCGGCAACCTCTACGTGGACTTCTTCATCTCCGGCGTCGTGGAGCTGCCGGGAGCCCTTCTGATCCTGCTGACCATCGAGCGCTTCGGCCGGCGCCTCCCGTTCGCCGCGAGCAACATCGTGGCCGGCGCCGCCTGCCTGGCCACCGCCTTCCTACCAGAAGGTACCGCTCGGGGAGCTTGGAAAGCAGCTTAAGCCAGAGAGCGAGGCGTGGGCCCCAGGGAGCGCTAGAAGCCCGGCCGCAACGCCCCCCGCCCCCGTTCGGAGGCACCTCCTTTCCCTGGGCTCTCCGGGCTCTGTGGAAGACAGTTTCCACGTCAGGACTGATTTTTAAATTGTTTTGCGGGTGGGTTTTTTTGGTCATTGTTATCAGAAGATGTCCATTGTCACTTCACCGTGAGCTTAGTACATTCCTGGGGTGATCAAGAGATTCTGTCTAAAACTCACACACCCGTCACGCTTTCTGACAAACCGTTTCCTTCGTCCCGTCCTGTGGTCGACACGCGGTGCGGGGCCTTGGGGGCCTCGGTCACGCGTTGCGGCAAAGTCCCTGTCCCCGCGTAGGCGCAGGCAGGTGCCGGCCTCTGCCGCTTGGAATGAGCTGAGGGTCTTTCAGACCAAAGTCAGCGCGTAGGGTCAACCGCGTCTCCTCAAGGGCGTCAACGTGACAGCGTTTTCTGAACGGTTTTCTGCACTGACTAGATGTTTTCCACGGCGTGTGAACATCTAGGTAATGCAGTTAACTTAATTTTGTCTGGTCCTTTCCAGCAAACTGTCTTACCGTCAGTCGTCAACTCAATTTGTCATTGACGTTGTCAGTGGGACTCGCTCGCAGAGTGCTCTGGATTCAGGAGAAAAAAGCCTATAGTTTGAGAACCTAACTTGGATCATGCAGTTATTTCCACACTAGCAGGCAGCGTTCTCCTCTGCAGCCTGAGAGCGGTGGGTGGCTGCCCGGTCGGGCCGGGGCCCAGGGAATCTGGGCAGCGGCTCCCACATTCCGTTCCCAGCACCTGGCGACACCGAAGGAAGGGCTGGAATGCATTTCCTAGTCCCCCGCCCCCCCGGCTTTCATGAAAAAACAGAGCCTAAATAACACACGTTAGAGCTGTTCTGTGCCAGAGCAGATGGTGCCAGGGCATCGGCAGGACTCCCATATCCCTCACTCCCCTGGGGCTCCTGCTGTGACGGTCGGTGTGTGCGCTTCAGGGGACTCGCCCGGGGAACATCGAGCGCACCAGGCCGGCGGCCGGGCGCAACCTGTGATGAACCCGGGCCTCCCAGCCGCGGCCTGGATTCCTGAACCGTCTCTCCTCTGCCTGCCCTCCTGGGTGGCTGTTTTATCTAGTGGATTTTTACCTTTTTTTATTTGTTGACTGTCCTTTAGAGAACACGCACCCACCGACCGAACTCAAGTCTCTTCTTCCAGTCTCCTCACCCGTGCCAACTTTTCTACTAAAAACGATATATTCAGGGAAGCGCAATCATTCTAGAAGACAAGGGGAGCATTTAGTACTGAGAGAGCATGAATAAGCACGAATATAAAGGGAAAGGCTTCATCTTCGAAGCTGAGTCAGACCTGCCGGGTGCCCTCTGCTTTGCTGAGCGCAGGGGGCCCCTGCCCATGTCCTCGCCACGGGTCCGCTGGAAAGGGCACCAGGAACTGCTCACATCGAGAAATCTGAAGCACTGACTTCTTAGCACAGAACTGGTTCACTCCTTCCCTGAAGACACAATAGGAGAATATTCGATAGAGATCCTTCGGCATTTCTCACGGGGAGTTTCCCCCACACGCCAGAGGTGCCCTAGAACGGTGCACTTGTCAATGAATGAACCAGCCAGTGCTTAAGAATCAGGCTCTTCTGTATAATTTCTTGGGGAAAGTAGCAAGACTGGGGATGGGGANCCCACACGCCAGAGGTGCCCTAAAACGGTGCACTTGTCAATGAATGAACCAGCCAGTGCTTAAGAATCAGGCTCTTCTGTATAATTTCTTGGGGAAAGTAGCAAGACTGGGGATGGGGAAGACGATGGGTGACAACCCTAGTGACAAGGCACGGCATCGGTCCCCCTTCCAAAGACCCCGCCCTCGAAGCCTCGCTGCTCCCCCGGAACCAAAGGCAGCTTCGCGTGGATCATCCCGTGTGCTGGGAGCAGCTGTTCTGTGTCTTCTCAGGCGAATGAGCAGAAGGAACCAACGGCACCAGATGGTGGTGACAGTTCTCAAGGGCACAAGTAAAGGCTACCGTCCAGACAAAAGGCCACTGTGCTGTGCCCACTGAGGGAGACACTGCTCGGAACATGGTGGTTGGTTTTTTTAAATGTTTTTATTTATTTCAGAGAGAGGAAGGGAGAGGGAGAGAGAGACAGAAACATCAGTGATGAGAGTCATTGATCGGCTGCCTCCCGCACGCCCCCTGCTGGGGATCGAGCCCACAACCTGGGCATGTGCCCTGGCGGGGAATCGAACCGTGACCTCCTGGTTCATGGGTTGACGCTCCACCTCTGAGCCACGCCGGCCAGGCAGAGGAGACGCCGTGATCGCGGAACATGGTTTTCAGTATAGTGGCCGCTCAACAAATGGTNCGGGGGATCGAACCGTGACCTCCTGGTTCATGGGTTGACGCTCCACCTCTGAGCCACGCCAGCCGGGCAGAGGAGACGCCGNACGCCGGCCAGGCAGAGGAGACGCCGTGATCGCGGAACATGGTTTTCAGTATAGTGGCCGCTCAACAAATGGTTCTTGAATTGCATTCCTATAATCTTGCCCTGCTCGGAAGTGCAGTCGTCCCAGAGGTAGTTATTGCTGTTGAAATTTGGGCCACAGTATTAGAAGGTGTCAATCATTTGTGCTTAAAATTAGCAAAGACTACGGGCTGGGGTCACTAAGCAAATGCCTCTCATTGTTTCATAAACTGTGTTAAAAGCACGGCCCTCACGCTTGCCTCCCGGACTCTCTGTGTTCCCAGGGACACCATGGCTGAGGACCACGGTGGCCACCTTGGGAAGACTGGGCATTACCATGGCCTTTGAAATTGTCTACTTGGTAAATTCCGAATTGTACCCAACAACATTACGGTAATTCCAGCACATATGTTATGGTTTCTCCTGGGTAACTCCGCAGCCACATGTTTGGAATTGACGTAGAAACCAAGAAACGGTTTCCTTAGCTTGATGACGTATTAGCTTGGGCTGGATTCGGCCATAAAGACGCCCGGCTTTGAGCTGTGGCTGCTTTCTACGTTGCTTTTGTCCACACTTGTGATGGAGGGACTTCCCATTCCAGTGTCTTCATGGTTTTGTGGGAAGGCGCCAGACCTGGAATCGGAAAACCTGGTTGGCGCACTTGCTGTGATGTGGGTTAGACCTGCCTTTGCCAGCATCACCTGTTTAAAGGCTCCTGCCTGTGTTCTGACCACACCTTGCAGCTGGGAGCGGCCCAGTATTGCAGGACCAAAAGCAATGGTGGGCAGGCGCGGGTGCAAATTAGCTCCTTTCCTGGGGACTATGCCTGGCCCAGCTGAGCAGCTAGGGGGCCACGGTGCTGGGGGGGGGGNGGTGAGCGAGCTGCTGAGGGAAGGGTGCGCCCCACCAGCCTCACTGGGTCACCCCGCTTACTTGGGTGTGGACTGGTGCGGAGTGTAAGTGGTTTGCTTAGAGTATGAGAGAGCAGTCGTTTTGAAAGTTCAAAACCACAGGAATGGAAAATACTGTTACAATGTTTTACGTCTGAATATTTTGCTTGTCTTGAATTTATTTAAACATTTTTCATCTAAAACAATTGTTTACCTACAGAAATTTTGGCGTTTCACTCTGCTCCGGTTTGTNAATTGTTTACCTACAGAAACTTTGGCGTTTCACTCTGCTCCGGTTTGTGTGACTTTGGGGGAATCATAGCCCCGTTTCTGCTCTTCCGACTGGCGGCCATCTGGCTGGAGCTACCTCTTATCATCTTTGGTGAGAACCCACTTGATATACTGGCCTTAGTGCGTTCATCCATAGTCTCTGCATTATTGGGTTTTGTATGATTGACATGCACTTGGTATTTTATGACAACCGTTTCAGTGTTGAGGAGCCAATCTGATTACAGTGAAATGTGACACCCGTTCTTTGTTTAGGTTCTGAGTTAAAATCAAATACCACAAAACTCTTTTATGATATTGGGAATAATTAAAGGCCAGTAATTCTCATGAGACCAAATTGGACCTTCAGTCTGTTTCAAAGAAGCCTAACAACTAATTACATTATTTATTGTCCTTTATCTATCAATATAATGTCTTCATTTTCTCGGATGCTAAACATGCTATGCTGAAAGAGCAGAGGACACAGGTCCCTCGAGCATCGAACACGACCTCTTCAATGGCCCCCAAGTTCACACCTTCCTTCCTACCCCCGATCTACTTAGAACCCATGAAGGGCTAGAACCACAGGTGGGAGGGACCTTACGGTCATTTGATCCAGTGTTTAAATTCTGTGCCAGCCTTTTTCCAGGACCTCACCCCCCTCCCTTCCTCAGCAAGAAAGGACACACCCAACTTTCCTCCATCTCTCCTTCCTTTGTCACTCATTGCTCAACAATTTCAATTGCAATGAAAATATTGAGTCCATGAGGATGCACATGCTGAGTAATGCAAAAATCCTAACAGAGTTAGGGCCAGTAAAGTCAGATCCTGATCATTTGACACCAGGGAAATCAGTAGAAGAACATTTCCAACTATTTCATGGGATCTGATCATGAAGCTCAGCGTTGAGTCTGCAGCCAGCACAAAAGAGCAAAGAGAGGAAGGTAGTTAACTGAGACAGAGTGGTCTCGGAGCCCAGCCATTCAAGACAGTGGCCTGGCCAGCCGTGAATGCTGGTAAGCTGGGCACCAGTGCCAGAGAGAACCGGTTGTCAAGCACAGCCATTATGAAAAATTAAAGTGTATACAACATACTGAAAACAGATAACAAACGCTCAAAACTCCTCGGTTCCTAATTCACGTGCATGTACTATTATCTGCGTTCCCGAGGTTTCTTTATGTGTTTGTGTCTTTTACGGTGGAAATCCTGCAGGAGGGTGTGCTGCTGTGCGTCTCTTCCCAGCGCCTCATTCAGCGATGTTACACCAGTAGTTACATCAGTGTCCAGTGGGGGTAGTGTTTACACCACGGAAATTGGCAGACGCTACATATCAGGGCTTTCTTTTCTGAAGAGCCAGTTGGTAAACATTGGCCAGCACACTAGGAAGATACAATGTATAGAAAACAGGAGAGGACAGTGTTTCAGGGATTTAGACTCCAAAGAACAGAAAAAGAAAGCATGGTTACCGGGGATAATGTGAGGTTGGTAGGAGGGCCCTGAAAGATGAAAGATTTGAGTATGTGTCAGTGCTTCCACCAGCGGGCTAAAGGTACTGCAGAGAGGATTAGCCACTACCGTGAGGAGCCCAAAAAAGACTCCAAGAGAAGACACCCTTGGGTAGAAGGGACAAGGCCTGCAAGGGAGCATGGAGGAAAGGGGGAAAGAGAGGGAGAGGAAGCAGTGATGTTCTAGTGTCAGGGAGGGGACACTGTGGGGACTCCTCTCTGGGGGCTTCTATTTTCCCAGGAAGCAGGAGATGCTGTTGGTATTCTCTGAGGGCCTGGCACTTAGTAGGCACTCAGTAAGTGACTGAGGCTGGTGAGCACAGCTACTTCCAGAGAGAGCTGAGGAATGAGGACCAGTGTGTGTGCCTGCTGGGTGATGCCTCTCCCTGTCCCGCAGGTGTCCTGGCGTCTGTCTGCGGCGGCCTCGTGATGCTTCTGCCTGAGACCAAGGGCATTGCCTTGCCGGAGACAGTGGATGACGTGGAAAAGCTTGGCAGGTATTGTGTGAAAGTCAGCACATCCTAAATAAGAGCGACGTTTAGAACCACCAGGGAAAGGGCAGCATTGAGAAAACTGAATGCCCAGGGGGAGAGAAATAATATTAAACCCTTGTCTTAAATTCGCATTACACAAATTCTAATTTTCTCCGTTTGAAATCTTTCATAAGAAAAAGTCAGGAAGAGAGGTTTTGAGTATGAGAGTGTACAGGAAAATATCTAAAATGGTATATGCCCTCTGGAGAGAGAAATGGGTTAGGAAGAGGGGCGCAGAAGGGAAGACATCCTATTATACTCTACAGACATCTGTATTGTTTGATATTTTTAAAAATTACAACATATTGTCTTGTATGATTTGTGTAATTTTTAAAAAGTAACTCGACAGCTAATTTAAAAAGTTAAAATCCCTCTTCTTCTAAAGAATGACCTGGAAATGAAGGGTATGGATCTCTAAATTTTGAACAAATGTATCAAAAATATTTGTGAAAAGACTGAAATGTTAGTCACCTTGTTGCAGTTTTCTTCACTTGCGCAGTGGGAGGAGAGGAGGCGCACACTTTGTAGGTGCCGATGTGACCGACGGTTTCACGTATGTCATTTATTGAAAACACTGCGGTTGGAGGCACTAGGAGCTCTCGCGCTCACTTTCTGTGAACCGGGGGACCCCTGGTCGCAAGGGTTTTGAACTGCTACACGCCAGGACTGGGGTTGGGGCTCCCGGGGCTCGGGTGGGCCTCCGAGGCTCTGTGTGCTTTTATTATTCCATGCTTTGTTCCTCTTCATCATGAACTCTTTAAATAGTGAGGATCCCTGTGGTAGGCCTGGGAGTTTCTCTCTCTCTACCCTCCTTCAATGAGGTACCATCCCGTCCCCCGAGGTAGACACCTTGCTAAGTGTCCCGCGAGCATCGTGCCAACCTGTGAAATGTGCACGATGACTTCATTGTCCAGTTTCCTGATGCTGGTTAGAAAAAGAAGGTCGGCTGACCACCCCGGAACATTCCCGAGAAAGGCCTGCTCGAAACCGCAGCCCCAGCCCCAGCCCAGTGGCCGACTTCTAACGGGACTGGCCAACCGAGGGCAGGTGGACGCTTGTCCCGAGAAGTCACCCCAACATTTTTCGTGCTTGTTTGGGAGCGACGGGTGCTGGCTTACCCCTCACCCAGAGCTCTACTTACACTTCACCCGGAAAGATGCTGCGGGAAGTTTGGGGTGGGAGAGTCTCCTAAGCTCTGCCATTTTGTAAACTAAAATTAGGAAGAGAAATTTTAAAAGGTGTTAAAACTGTGTGGAGCCTCTTGAGCGTCACACACACCGTGGTACATCTTGATTCATCCGGAAAGTAGAAACCCAGCTGTGCTCATTCTGACGTCACAGACGATAACTTGGTTCCAACCAGGGTATGGGGCCAGGTCAGGGTGGGGGTGACCAGTCCTGTCACCCCAGTCACAGCAGGGCTAGGAGACCAGGAGAAAGGACAGTAGTCAGGAAGCTTACATGAAGCAGGGGGACATGGGGAGGACAGAAGTAGGATTGTCTTTCAATGAGACACTCAGACGTTAAAGGGAGCCTCCCATGGGCTGATGCCCTAGGGGCCTGTTAGGACTGGGGTACCCCGGAGGGCGTCCCAGGAGAATGTCTCCCCCGGGATTTCAGCACCAAGGTCAGGAGTTCAGTGCTGGCTGCTGGTGGCACAGGGCTGATGTTGGGGCTCCTGGGCCCCCACCCCAGGCTGGATGACGATTCCTCCCCCTCTCACCTCATTGATTCTGCCCCATTTTCTGCTGCTTGTTTAAATAGTGAGAGTGATACACGCATTCGCGATGCTGAAACCGGTCAGGGGTCAGATTCTCAGGCTCCCCTGGGAAAAACAGAGGGTTGGGGGGTGATTGGAGGTCAGGACTCGCCTTCCAAGTAATTAAAATTAGAGTTAAGCCACAGGGAGAGGTGGACGTTTGGAGAGGGGAAGGCATCTGACGGGTGTGCAGGGAAAATTAACACCCCAACAGTAGAGTAACAGGAAGAATTGTACCAATGGGAATTCAAGCCGCACAAAGTGTTCCCAGTTTTTTCTATGTTTGTAACTTTCCGTAATAAAAAACTTTTGATAAATTGTTAATTATGCCTAGTCCCTCCCCTCGGACGAAAATCTCATAAAAGTATGGCTTACAGTTTTATAAGTTAAGCACTTTAATTGCACGTCCATAGTCGTTGACTCTGGGGAAAAACCGCTTTGCCCCAGATTATTGAAACCGGATAGCAGTTCCCCTTCTAACGCTGTTCTTTTGTCCACACTCAACCCTTTGCCAGCCATCCGCCGAAATCCGTAGAGAACATCGCGCTGGGCGAGGGTCTGAGAGCGGGTGAGACAGGAGCCCGGGCACGGTTACTTTGTTTCCTCTGAGTTGGGCTTTCATGAGAAGCGCAGGTGTGAGTGTTGATGAAGAACTATGATACTAAGTAACAAGAAGGCTTCCTCCTAACCAGTCTTTCCTCTTTAGCAAGGACTTTCTCTTTCCCCTTTGCCTTGCTAGCCCACCTTCCTACACGTGTGGCAGGAAAAAGAAGACCCCCGTTTCCAGCTCCGACCTTTGAGGCCCCGGCCCAGGCCCGAGGGAAGGAGCAGCTCAGGCCGATCCCGAGGCACCGCCGCCCCCGGAGACGTGCCTGTTCCGGCTGCGTCGCGCTGTGCGGCTCCCCCGTGTTTCTTTGCAAAGACATTCAAACGACCCAGAGTATCTTCATATAATGTTGGAGGAGAGGTTTTTTCCCTGACATTGGAGCAGTGCCTCTGACCCATCGGTTACCGAGACGAGAGAAGCCCCCACCCGGTCCTCACCACGGCTCCATCGGGAGTACGGGATGAGTAATCCAAGGACCTGGGACCGTGTGCAGACACGGGGGCCTCCAGTCCGGGAACCAAGGCTCTGGCCCGCGTGTCCTGAAGAGGCTGTGAAGATAAAGATTTGGGGGTTCTATCATGAAGACACACCGGGACACACGGACAGAGCCTTTGTTTCCCTTCTCACCTTAAGCTCCGGGAGCCCGGGGAGCATCGGGGTTGCGGGCGGGCGTGTTCTGGCCTCGTTCCACAAATGAGCACAAATCTTCCCAACGGTCGAAGGAATTGGCTCTGTTACTTATAAAATCAGGTTGGGTCCCGAGATGACCCGGGATGGCTTCGGACCCCGTGGGTGGACACCCAGAGCCACATATTCTTTACTGAACAAAACCTGTGGATTACGACTTCATGGGTCGTAAGATTTTAACCATAAAGGGACATTTATCTTCTCTTTGTGAGTTCAGCTCTATGGCAGTGCCCATGGTCGGGAGCGAAGCGCACGGACAGTTCTCACTCAGCCTCGACGCTTCCCCTTGTTTGGGGAAGTAACGTACATTTTCACTGAAAAGAAAGGTCCGTTGTATCCGTGCCTGAAGAATTAGCAGAAACTGTGTAAGTGGCTTTGCAGATCCTTGTAAGGGATTCGATCTTCCTTTTTTGTTACTTTTGGAATGTGGAGCTTAAATAAAAAACATGCCGTCTTTTCCTCATCGGCTTTGCATGTCTTACTTGGTTTACTTTCGGATTCGGTATATACCTTATGCAGAAGTTTTTAAATAAATTACTCTGTGTGCTCAGGCAGCATGGGCACCGAAGGGAGATCTCGCCGCTGGGAAGAGTTTCTCGCGAACACGTATGTGCGGCGTGTGTGCTGACCGCAGGCTGCGCCCCTTTACCCTTAGAGCCCATCAGAAGCGAAACGAATGTTCTAGTCCCAGGAAACATGCCCCGTCAGCGAGGCTGTGGCGCCGTGTTCGCCCCGATTTATCTGCGTTCCCTGCGTTTTCCTTTGCGATAGGATGGCTGTCGCTCCTTGATGCACCTTTGAATTGTATTTTGAGTTGATACTTTGGTTCTGATAACAATAAAAAAATTTTAATTGTCAAGAAAAATCCATGTTTGCCCCCTCTCTGCCTCTTGTTTTACTTTATGTTATTTTATTTATTTGTTTATCTTTTTAAATCTTCACCCGAGGATATGCTTACTGATTTGAGAGAGAGGGGAAGGGACAGAGAGAGAAAGAGACACACACGTCTGTGTGACAGGGGACACTGATTGGTTGCTTTCCGCATGTGTCCTGACCGGGGATTGAACCCACAACCTAGGTATGTGCCCTGACCGGGAATCGAACCCACAGCCTTTCCGCGTACCGAAGACGCGCCAACCCCCCGAGCCCCACCGGCCGGGGCGCCCCTTCCCTTCCTTTTGAGCGTGTGGCCCTGCGGGACACTGTTCCCAGGGGGCAGTGTGTGCTGCGTACCCGGGAGCCAGCTGGTGATGGAAATTCAGCGGCCCACCTTCCGCGTGTGCTTGTCCTTTACGGGCTCTCGGCACCAGGCCTAAGCTCCTAGGTGACATTCTCAGCTGCTTTTGTGTCTCCTTCCATGGCCTGGTTTGCCCTTAGCTGGCCGTGCATCTCCTCCCATCGCCCGTTTACGCCGCGACACTCCCCTCGGTCCCCGGCCCCCAGTGCTGGGCTACAGACTGTCAGGAACGTTTCACTCCCAAGAACAGAATTTGTCCTCATGGCTCCCCATACATGTCGTGGATTTGAAAACATTCATCTCTGTGCTGGAAATAAAGACATTAAAGATTCACGCCACGCGGTCTTCCCCTGACAAGGTAACTATAGGGGTGACTGATGAGGATTTTTTTTTCCAATCCTCACCAAGGGTATTTTTTCCACTGCTTTTCAGAGAGAGTGGGAGGGAGCGAGCGAGAGAGAAACATTGATGTGAGAGAGACATCGATTGGTTGCCTCCCACACATGCCCCACCCGGGGCCAAGCCTGCAACCGAAGTACGTGCCCTTGGCCGGAATCGAACCCGGGACCCTTCAGTCTACGGGCCGACGCTCTAACCGCTGAGCCCGACTGGCCAGGGCTCCAGGGCCTTCTTTACGATCCCACAGGCTTCTTGGTCCCATAGGCGACTATGCTCCTGAGAAAGAGGAAGCTCGTGGCCTCCGAGCGTTACACTGTTTAAAATCGGCGGCATGAACAGAGAAATGCAAACGATGAAAATAAAAAAATCAAATCAGGGTAAGTACAGAGTTTATTTTCAACAAATGCCATCACTGTGTTGCCTTATTAGTAGAGAATCCAGCAGTCCGTGGACAGGAGAAATTTATCCACAGTAATACTAAAAATGCTGAGCTCGGCAGTCGCTGGGGGCCCAGTACAGTGTCCTAGTCTGATTCCTGTCGGTCCTTTCCGAGCGTGTCGGTTCCCTACCCAGCCCCAGCGTCTGGATCCGGCGGTGTTTCCCTCCGTCTCCCACCGGTTAATTATTTTTCATTGTCTCTTCAATCCAAGTGACATACCTTGAAACACGGACATAAACGCCCGGCTTGTTGGGGCGTGCACAGCCAAGACCCCAAGAAGTGACCCCTTGTAAGATGTACTTGTCCTTCTCGAAGCAGACCAGAGGCCCTCCGCTGTCACCCTGCAGAGGGAGGGAACGGCGTGTGAGCACAGACCACATCCTTTCAGTAGGGCGTGGGGGTCACCCTCCTGTCTCCCACCTGCGGGTTTTCTCAGTACTTGAACAGCCCTTTCCAATCAGAAGGGAATTTGTTAACATGTTGCTTGAACAGCTGCTATGCTTAGCAGAGTGTATTCAACAAACTGCACCAGGGACTGTTTGCTGGGGAGCGGATCTCTCGGGAGCAGTGCACTCAGCCCTTCCCGCCCTGGCATTTCTCGTGGGCAGAGTCACCCCAGGGACCTCTGAGAAGGAGGAGCCACAGGCCTCTGCCCTGCACCCTTTCCTAGTTTGCTGCTGGGACGGCCACCTGAGCCCTGCCCACCTGGACTCCCAGAAGGCGTGTGACAGGCTGTGACAGTGACGGTGCCTACCCACTCCCCTGCACCCCACCTGGAGCTCGGGGTACCTACCCACTCCCCTGCACCCCACCTGGAGCTCAGGGTACCCACCCACTCCCCTACACCCCACCTAGAGCTCGGGGTACCCACCCACTCCCCTACACCTCACCTAGAGCTCGGGGTACCCACCCACTCCCCTACACCCCACCTGGAGCTTGGGGTCCGTGGGTCATCTTAGATGATCTGAGTCAGAATCAGGGACAGACCTGAAGGGTTCCTGGGCAACATTCAGACCGTGGCCTCCCCAAATTGGCTGCATTGGGGCTGAGAGGCGTAAGGGGCCAGGACAGGCCAGCACGGGAGTGACCGCTCTCTACCCTCTTACCTGGCAGCTGTCGGCGCCCCCGGCCAGGTGCCCCGCGCACAGCTCCGTGGACTTGACCCTGCCGTTCAGGTACTCGTAGCGGTTGCACACCTTGTTCTCGATCACCGGCAGCTGCGCTTCCTTCAGGAGGCCGGCGCCAAAGGTGCCTGTTTCCGAAGATCAAAGGAACGGTCACTGCACCCAAACCGCGCTCACAGGGAAAGTTCCAGAGGCACAGAGCAGCAATGAGAGATCTCGTTTGTCCAAGAGATTGGATAAGAGCCAGTTCCTAATACTCAAACTCCTTTTTTCTGTTTGACTGTTTTTAAAATATATATATATGTTTTTATTGACTTCTCAGAGAGAGGAAAGGAGAGGGAGAGGGAGAGAGAGAGAAACATCAATGATGAGAGCCATTGATCAGCCACCTCCTGAGCGCCCCCTCCTGGGGACTGGGAATCAAACCGTGACCTCCTGGTTCATGGGGGTGACACTCAACCACTGAGACACACTCTTGAGAATATAAACATATAAAATTTCATGTTCCCAAGTCCTGGATTTAATAACCTGGTTTTCTTTATGACATTTGGGGGTGGGGTATTTTTAGTGCTTTTTTTGTTTCTTTTTTTTTTCACTATAAAGAAATAACTTTTTTATTTTGTAAAGAGAGATTAAGAAATACAACTGCTACTATTTTAATATATTTTTTCAGGCTTTTTTTATATGCTTCTTTTACTACTGATACCATATTGCACAATTTAATACCCTGATTTTTTTCACATTATATAATGATGACTTTGTTACAATGTTGCAATCTTCATAACTATTATTTTAATGGGATGTGACTGCTTCATGGATATGGAGTTTCTCTTTGGGGTGAGGAAAGGTTTCTGGAAATAGTGGTGTTGATTGCACAACATTGTAAATGTGCTAAATTCCAGTGAATTGTGCTCTTCACTGTAGTTAAAACAGTACATTTTGTTATATGTATTTTACCACAACATTTAAAAGAAAAATCGCTGTCATTTACTGAGAATCAACCTTTTCAGGCACAAGCTCATTCTGGGCTGTGTCTCATTGTCTCTCTGAATCCCTCCCACAGTCCTCTGAGAGAGGCACGTTTGTCATTCCTGTCGTGCCGTCAGGGAAACTGAGGCTGAGAAAGAGCGTAGTTAGCCCAAGACCTCCCAGCAAGTAAGTGGTGAAGCTGGGATTTGAACCTGGCTTTGTAACGCTGTTGCCCAAATTCTTTACCCCATGCTCATCGGCTCCTCCAGTTGCTTCCAATGTTCTACAAGTTTGTTCCTATGGTTTATGCATATTCCTTAATATTTTCTTTTTTTAGTATAAAGTTTTTTAATTACCATGGTTAAAAATATTTTCACTGAAACTTGTAGGCTCAAAGGTCCATTATCACAGTTACATAGGACATTGAAACTGTTGCCACATCACTCTCCTCGCCAGGCTGTGAACTGTTTGAAGGCGAGAGCTGACTTTCTTTATCCCTAGAGCCTTAGTATTTTCTTAAGTCCAAATTCCCAGAAGTTATAGACATATTTATGGCTCCCAAAACATTGCCAAATTACTTTCTCCAAGGGCATGACAGTGTAAAATGTCACTAGAAAAAAGTCCCTTCCCCACACCCTGATGCGTATTGAATATTTTAAAAATACTTGCAAATATAATAGGTGGAAATTGCCCTAATTTGTTTCCTAATTTACATTTTTTTTATAACTAGGCAGAGGGAACATTCTCCTGTGTGCTTGTTTTACTCACTGTATTTCTTTTTTACTTTGGCAAACTGCAAAAGAGCGCCGGCAAACTCACCAGAGAAAGTGCGGTTTTTCCAAGTGGACCCACCCAGTTTGCCTCACAGATCACCCACTTTTCCAGCTTTGCAAGCCTGGCTTTCACCAGTTTTGCAAAAATCTCTTCTTTGCGAGCATGGAGCGGCCAAGAGATGAGGTCCTAGCTCTCCTCCAAAGACCTCGGATAACTTGGAGAATTGTGAGTTCAGCAAACACAAAGGCACACTCAGTCTGGAGGTGACAGCAGCTAGGAACAGGACTGCCGTTTGGAAAGGAGAAGGAGAAGCTGTCCCAGCCAGGCCACCAAGAGGTTTCACCCAGCCAGGCCACACAGAAGGCCTGACCGCGGCAGCACTGGCCGGGGCACTGCTTCAGTGGAGTCGATGTGCGGAGGGAGCAGCCGTCTCAGAAACGAATCACTCAGTGTCCTGCTCCTGCATCTGCCTCCTGAGCGGGCACAGGCCCGACACTGGTGACAAGTCCACTGTGCGCGGGAAGTGGATGTGGTCCGTTCGGGTGCGCTGCCCTCCTGTGGCCGCAGTGGGAATGGCATTCCTGGGGGCTGGCGGTGACTTTGGGACCAGAAGCCCTGCCTAGCTTTGGAATACGGGAGCCAGGGAAAGCCGGGGGACTGAGGGGAGAGCGGGAGAATTTTCACCTCACAGGAGGAGCCTGAGACAACAGGGATGGATCTGAGGCCACTGTTGACATATGGAAAATTGGTAAATAACTCATGTTTTGTGACTCCTCCTGGCCCAATGAATCTACTGAGAACCTGATGGTGATGATGGTCGTGGTGGTGATGGGGGTGATGGGAGTGATGATGGTGATGGTCATGGTGGTGATGGGGGTGATGGGAGTGATGATGGTGATGGTCGTGGTGGTGATGGGGGTGATGACGGTGATGGTGATGATGGCCGTGGTGGTGATGGGGCTGATGGGGGTGATGATGGTGATGGTGATGATGGTTGTGGTGGTGATGGGGGTGATGATGGTGATGGTGGTGATGGTCGTGGTGGTGATGGGGGTGATGGGAGTGATGACGGTGATGGGGGTGATGGTGATGATGGTCGTGGTGGTGATGGGGGTGATGGGAGTGATGATGGTGATGGTGGTTGTGTAAACACAGGAGCTGCTGCAATACCATCTCCAAAGCANATGGTGATGGTGATGATGGTCGTGGTCATGATGGAGGTGATGGGGGTGATAACGGTGATGGTGATGATGGTCGTGGTGGTGATGGGGGTGATGATGGTGATGGTGATGATGGCCGTGGTGGTGATGGGGCTGATGGGGGTGATGATGGTGATGGTGATGATGGTTGTGGTGGTGATGGGGGTGATGATGGTGATGGTGGTGATGGTCGTGGTGGTGATGGGGGTGATGGGAGTGATGATGGTGATGGTGGTTGTGTAAACACAGGAGCTGCTGCAATACCATCTCCAAAGCACTGAGCACTTCACATGCATCTTCTTAATGCCAGAAACACTCCCCTTCCCCTGGCCCATGTCCCTGGACTGACAGTGGGGACACAGGCAGGCACCCAGACAGAGCTAGGCAGGGAGTGGGCCTCGGTCGCTGAGGAGTTTGAGCAGATGCTCATTTTCTCGTGGAGGCTCAGGCCAGAACGCAGTCGTTGAGCGAGACAGAATTTTCTCACCTTGGGTTTCTCCCCACCCGGTGATGTAACACACTGTCCGGTCGGCGACCACATAATTTGCGGATGGCAGACAAGCTGGGATGACCTTATTGGTGATGACGGCAGGGCTGAAAGGAAGACATAAATGTGATGACAATTCATGGCCTTGCCGGGAGACCCCTGCCGTTCGTCGGTTGGTCGGTCACCCGTGACCAGATGCCACCTGCCCCGAAGCCCCAGAACTCTCCAAACCAGCATCTCCTTGTTGCGTTGGCCCAGGGCAGCATGGAAAACAGCTTTTCACCCTCGCACTGGCCTACGGGAGCTTATGGGCCAAGCAAACAGAACATTTTGTTAAAAAGGCCTCCATCGTGGGCAAGAAGCCGGAGGTGGGAGCAGAGGCGACAGAGTCTCCCCTTCATGACCATCCTGTGCACTCTGGCAACTCTGTATCAACTGAATACTTTTATGTCAACCTCAGCAGGTGACCGTGTAGCTGAAGTGCTGTCACAAGGTGTTAACAGTAGCAAATGTGTCGTGCGGCCAGGAGCCAAGTGGCCCAGCTTTGGGGTCGTCAGTTTCCACACCGTGGCGGTGGGAACCCAGCAAAACGCTAGGTATCAAAAGAAAGAGAAGTGGAGACATTTGCATCAGCAAAACGGTATTGTTTCCAAGGAGCCTTCCCCCGTGGAGTTCCAGGGCACCTTAGACATCAGCACTCCCGTTTCCTGACTTGATTCTATTTTAGCTAGTTCGAGAGGAAAACAGGTGGGAGTGAGAAACACCCTAATCTGATTAGGGAGCATCACCGTGGCCGACTTTGAAGCAGACGCACCCTCTTGGGGTCACCAGAATCAACCCAGCCTCTCACATGGGGTGACCCCGAAGACGTTACTCTATGGGTTCCCCTCACAGAATATCAATGTCTCCGGCTCTTGGGGTGCAGGGGGCCTGGGCTGGGTGAACACACAAGCCTAAAGCTCACATGTGCCAGTCTAGCAGAGAACACGTCCAGAACCCCAAATTTACTAAATTACTTGTTCAAGCTGCCAGGTCTCCCAAGGGCCCTCGAAGGACCACGTGAATGGAGGGCGAGATGAGCTACTTTTTCAGGCTAAGCCAAGAAGTCCCTTCCTTCCCTTCCTAGAGAGTCCACACGTCTCCAGAAGTCAGTCCTCGGGCTCCCGCGCCAGGATGCGTGCGGGGCGTTTCTGAGCAGACCCGGCAGGGAGCGTTCACCGCATTCGCTGTGCCAGCCCGGTCCTTCCCCTGCCGGCCTGGCCCTTCATCCTTGTCATCGAGGCCCCACTGTCCTCGGGGCCCCGTCAGACACGGCTGACGTGCTCTGAGTGCCTCGGCGACCATCCCAAATGTGCCTATTCTCAAAGAGCCGTCTGCTTACTTAGCCCTCCCCAGTGGGATCCGTTTCCAAATCCTGTAACTTGAGGTGGCACAAGCAAAGGTATCATTTTGTCAGGCTTAATATGAAAACACCATTTCAACAGGAAAAATAAAGCCAAAGAGGAGGAGAATCTACATTTGCGAGGGGTGTGTGTGAGGTCGTGACGGTTTGTAAGGGCTTTGAAATACACGATCTCCTTTGGTTCCCCAAACATATCATGGTGCTGAGAGGAGACGCGCCACCCGGAATAGCTGAGCAATTCTCTGATTGTGGATGGATATTAGCTGACAGCGAACGTCCAGGGAGAGAGTTTTATGTAGCTCATGTTTCATAAAACATGAGTTTCATAAAACTCTGTAGCTCATGTTTCAACTCACTCACGCGGGGAAACTGAGTCCCGGTGCCTTTGCCAGGACCACAGCTAGTGTGGGGCAGAACGGGGTGAGTCCAGGTCTTCTCGCCTGAGGTTCAGTGTCCTTCCCTGACAGCCGCCCCGCCCAGGCCCGTTACGGCTCATGAACCCGGGTGGAAACAGCGTTCGCGCGTCGCGGGGCGTTCGCTGCGGGCTCGGTACCTGCTTAGCTTCAGCAGGGCAATGTCGGCCCGGGTGGGCTCCGTGATCAGCTTCGACACCTCTTTCTCCTGAACATCCGTTTCCAGATTTCTCTCTCGGTGCGCGCCCAGGATAACCCTGTAGGACGACGGCCGGGAGGACCTAGAAACGACGGTGACGTTAGCGGCAAAATGTGGGCCAGCCCTTCATCGGGTGCCCTTCTGAGCCACAAGCACCAAGTCCTCCCGCCCGCTCGGCTGTCCACAGTTTCCCCTGAGTGGCCAGAGAGAAAGGCCATGACTGACCCGAGCCTGACCTTAGGGAGTGTCCTCGGGGTGCTTTTGGTCAATAAAACCAACACTGGAGTCGGCACAAGGACAGGCCCCATGTCAGCGGACACTTGTGGCCATGCACGGCCCCCTCCTGCCTACAGGCCCCCCGAGCTGAGCCCGTCTTCTCCATTTCCCTTTGGAGACACTCCTTTCCTCTCCTGTTCAATGGCCCTGGCAGCTCTGCCTCAGGCCTCTCCACATCCACTCCCTGGTCCCTAGCGTCACTGCCATGGAAGGAGGGACAGGAGGGGACAGGAAAGGACTCAGCCAGGAAGTCTGCAAGACAGGTCCTCGTGTTAGCCGCCCCCTGAACGTACCTCTCCAGGCAGTGGGCAGCGGTCAGCACCCACTCGGGGGATATCAGAGTGCCTCCGCAGAAGTGCATCCCAAATCTGGGGGAAACACCAAGATTTTAGTCCAAGTCTGATGATTTATTCTACAGAAAGCCAGAGAGACGCATTCGGTGAATTTTGATAAGGTTGACATTCCCAAAGGAAAGACTGCCAGCCGGTCACCAGGGCGGCAGGGGCTAGGAGTTGGGGGTTTTCCAGAAGGTTCCATTCACAGTGCTCTCTAAGGTCGGGGAGGCCCGGGGACCGCTGTCCGCAGGAGAGCCAACCCACGCGGCTCCAACGTGAAGCCCGCAGCCACGGCTCTGGCCGGGTAGCCCTGGGCTTCAGCAGGAGGGACCAGGAGAAACCGTCCCCTGTCAAAATCTTTCTCATTCCCTTTCGACAAGATCCAGGCGGGACCTGGAGGGTCATTCTCGAGGCAGCCAAGCGTGATCCTGAATGGCTGTGCCTCCCAGGAGTCTGCTGATTTTACCTGAGCAAATTCCCTTTTCGGGGAGATGGCTCCTAAATACTTCCTAGGTCTGTTTGGGCAGGTGGAAGCTCATGAAAACAGCATGGGCCGCCCGGAGGCGGGGGGATGAGCGGGACACGTCGTGAGGGCGCGAGGGCCGGCGAGTCGGTCTCCGTCGGGAGCAGAGCACAGTGCGGGTGGGAAAGAAGGGGCTGGAAACGTGTGAAAGGAGCTGCTAAGTCTTAAGGCAAAGCAAAGAAGAGCCAGCTCAGCAACGGGAGGAAACGGGGGAACTCGGGCGAGTCGGTGGCATCCGCGGGGGCGGGGCCCGAAGGCACGGGGTGAGCTGGTCACTGCGTCACGTGTGCGCTTTCCCCGAGACGCCAGGAGACCTGAGCTCACTCATGCGACAACCCAGAGTGCCCAGGGTGTTGCGGGCCGGAGCCGACCGCTTCTCAGTCACGGTGTCGGGAGCGACCCTGCGCGAGGAGGAGGAGGAGGAGTGCTGGAGAACGGGTGAGCTCCCTCCGAATCAAGCTCAATACCGTCTGTATCTGTGACAGGCTACGGCTGATTAGGCCTTTGTTCCCGACCACGGGTCCCATTTCTAGAACTGCCTTTCTCGCCACGTCATGTGGCGAGCCGGAGGGCTGCGTAAACCCTCCGGGCGCCCTCGCTACTCTTCCAGTGCTACTGGCCCTTGGAAAGCGTGGCGTCGGCCCGTGTTGGTGAAAGCTGCCCAGAGCAAGAAAAAGATCCCAGTCCTGGCTATTTTAGAAGCGGAGAACCTAGAAAAATTAAATTTGGGATTGTATAGCTTTCCTGCCCCCCGAGGCGAGAGCAGAGGCCGCCCCGAGCCCCGAGCTGCGGGCGCGGGCCCGCGCGGGAAGGTTGGCGGGGCTCCCGCGGAGGCAGAGGCGTGGTGCCCGGAAACGCTGTTACCTTGTTCTCAGGCTGATTTGCCACGGCCAGGAGTGCGGGTTGGCCACACACCCACCTACAACCCGTCCGGGGCATTTCTTCGGCTCCACCTTGGGCTTCCCGCAGTCAAATGAGGAGGACACTGCGGCACAGGAGAGAGTCGCGTGAGGAGGCCAGAGGCAGGGCCCTGCCTCACGGCTCCGGGCAGGTGGGCCGCTCAGGCCCAGAGCCCGCGTTCCTGTGTGTGTAATAATCCTCGCCGGGGGGCATTTCTCCATCGATTATATTTCAGAGAGAGTGGGAGGGAGGGAGGGAGAGGAACGCCCGTGTGAAAGAGACACATCAGTCGGTGGCCTCCGCGCCTGCCCCAGCCAGGGCCGGGAATGACCCTGCAGCCCAGGTGCGTGCCCTCGACCGGAAACAGAGGGAAAGGAAAGGAAGCTCTTAAACACGAGCATGCTTTGGAATATCTTTTTCTAACTTTCAAAAGTAGTACTAGACAACACAGGACCTTCTCCATTCAAGAAAACAGAAGGATTTTTTGTTATTTTTGGGGAGAGGTAAATTGGCGCAGTGAGGCGAGAGAACGGCAGCCTCCCCGAGAGGGCCTCGGCCGGCCCAGATGGATCGCCCGAGCTGTGCCTACAGCACCTGTCGCCACCGTCCCCTTTCCCACCACCACCGAGCCGGGGAAAGCTCCCTGCAAACCAGCTGTCTCCCCTCTGAAAGGCAGCGTGGGTATTTTTCAGTGGGAATCTCCGCGTGCACGTATGTACACACGTGTGTGCGTGTGATTGTATGTGGCAAGGGTCAGCTGTCCTAACCTGGAACGCTGCCTTCTCCCGGCCAGCCTCAGGACCGCCCTTCCGGGGAGCCCCCGCGGCTCACCCGTGCCCCGGTGGGGACGCCTTCGCCTGGCTGTCCTGCGCCCCCCACCCGCTTCCCCTCCGCCGGCCCGCAGCGCCCCGGAGAGCAAGGTCAGCGCTGCCTCTGGGAGCAGCCGCTCGCGCCCGGACGGCTCAGGGTTCAGAAAACGCCTCTCTTCAGACATGTGAGTGTAAATCGCTGTTCATGGCGACACTGCAGGGGGCTCTCTCTCCATCCTAATCGGGGATTCTACTCTCTCATGAGCCTGGAGCCTGAATTTTCCAAATCGCTTTCCATTTTCCATGGCCTGTGCTGAGCCTCTACATATAGAAGTCTTTAAAAAAAAAAAAAAAGCAATATCGTGAAGTCCCTCTCCCTGATGCTGAGCTTAATTTCCGCTCCTGGGCCTTGGCTTGCGCCGGCCTCACAGGTGCGCTAAGAAAAGGTAACTGCGGGGATTAGGTCCCCAGGTTCCGCCATTCAGAACAGAATCGGAAGTTTCTCTTTGGTTTTACTTATTTCTCACCTGTACTGAATGTGTTGGTGGAATTGAAATGAGCCATTAAAATCATTCAACAAATAAGCATACAATTTAAGATAAGTGAATCTAAGTAAATAACAAATTATGTTTAAGGTGGGCAGCCTTCCCTTTTTTAGTATCTCGGGTGCCGGCCCCCGGTGGCTTTGCAGCCAGAGCCCCCCCCCCAGTCCCTCTACATGGAGGACACCAGGACATGCAGCCCTGCAAGGGGAGCCCAGGTGACCGTGACCGGGGCAGGTTCCGGGCGCGGAGACGGGTCCAAGCCAAAGCCGCCCGCCCGTGGGTTTGCTCTCCAGACTTTCCAGAACCCATGTCAACCCCCTTTCTCTGACCCAAGCCTCTTGCTCCTCAGAAGAGTCTCAGGGGAATGAGGAAGGGGCCCCGGCCGCCTTTCTCCAGGTCACCTGAGGGTAAAGGAAGGAGGGCTGGGTGAGGTCGGCACCGTTTCGTTTCATTCTTAGGGTGGCGAATGGCAGGCTGCCAGCGTGCATTGCGCTTGGCCTGCTGTTTGTATTTTCTTTCTTACCTCCCAGCTGCTGAAAGGGGGAGTTTCACATCTAGGTGATTTTCAATTTGTTTTTCCTGCATCCCAAGCTGGGCAGTGGGGAATTCGGCAGAACCGTCACAAGGCTGATGGGAGGGCCTCCAGGCTTGCTCTTTCGGGGGATTTTGTATTTACTTTATCTAAGGCGTGGGGGGGTCCCTAACAAGTGGGGCCTCAGTAGGACAGACTCAAGAGGCCCGTGATGGAGAGAGGGCTCGGCTCAAAGCCCCCCTCTGTCCTTCAGACCCATGTTCAGGAGGGGGGGCTGCATTTACTTGAGATGTCGGCTCCTTTCACAAAAGAAGCCAGCTTACCACACAGAGGCACGTCGCAGTAGTCAAAAAGCTTCTTCGGATCCATCGTGTAGCACCAGGGACCGTTGACGTCCCCATCCGGGTTGCGGCAGTACTGAAAAAGGGCAGGTGTTCACGGAACAGCGAGGACACTCGGGCAGAGAAGGGGCAGGCCACCCTGTCCTTAGAGGATGGGAGGTAAGCCCTCCTTTTTGGGGGGGAGGGGTAAACTTTAGGATGCGTCTGACTCGTTCCGTGCCCTTGGCCATGTCTCCTAGTCCAAGAGGAGCTCCAACCATGAGGCCACCACCCCGGAGGGAGGGTAGAGCCTCTGAGGGGACTTGACGTAGGGACTCTATAGGGGACTCTCGTGCCAGTGGAGGCCTCAGAGGCCAGCAAGAGGCCCACAGGGCGTAACGGACTCATCTTGCGCCTGGCTCACTTCAGCAGCCTTCGGCCCCACGGGACCTGTTTGCCCAGGTATTTCTGTGGGCTGTGCACCGTCTGTGGGTCAATCCACGAGAGGCTCTGTCTTCCTGTCCTTCCCATGCACATCCCCAAAGTAAACCAGAAACTGTGGGAGACTGGGGCAAATTCTAGCGTGTGCAACCCCAGCCGCCCATCCAAATTTTTATAGAAAATTCTGACTCAAATGTCACGGATCACCGTCGATCACCAGACTCTAGGGGCAAACACTAGAAACAGCGCTGAAGGAATAGCGCCGCTGGGAGCGCGAGGCCTGTGGGTGGGGACGGCAGCGGGCGGGGGGCTGCCCTGCCAGGGGCACTGGCGCCGACTGTGCTGCGGGCTTGGTCCCCTGAAGTCCCTCATACATGTTTCTCGCCTCCGCCCCACACCAAAGGCCGGCCCAGGCCGACTCGCTGCCACACAGGACCAATTCTGCTGGCGGAGACCGGTCCCCAAGGGGCGAGAGGGTCCAAATCTGAGAGGCTTACATTTTTTTCCAGGCCCGCCTTTGAGTTTGTCTCTGGCGTGAAGATGCTGTGCTTGTGGGGCTCCTGGGCTGCCCAGGCCTGGCATGTCGTGCCTGTCACGGTGGTGGCCTTCGTGCCCCGATACCCTTTCCCGTTCCCAAACATGCAGTCTGTGGGGAAGAGAAAGGGCTGGTTACGGCTCCGACGTGGGCCCAGGCGACAAGGCGCAAAGGCAGTGACTTAGGTCTCTCTAGTGACCGGCTCTGTGGCCTCGCTTTTCAGGGCCCAGAATGCGGAGGTGACCGGGAACGCCGCCNGAGGGCTGGTCACGGCTCCGACGTGGGCCCAGGCGACAAGGCGCAAAGGCAGTGACTTAGGTCTCTCTAGTGACCGGCTCTGTGGCCTCGCTTTTCAGGGCCCAGAATGCGGAGGTGACCGGGAACGCCGCCTGTCTAACATGTTGCTTGAAATGCGTGTTGGCTCCGAAACAGTCACATCGAGCAGGACGTGGGCACAGGGATTTGGCCAGGACGCTGGGATCATGGATTAGACACAAGCTGAGGGGTAGACGGTGCGCCCGGGAGAATCTGCGGGAGGCAGATGCTATTGCGAATGGTTAGGTGGCTCTCAGGCGCCTTGCTCTAGCCAGGGCGGGTAAAAGGAGTGACACTGAAAGGGTTTTCTAGAAAATTTTACTTGGCTAGAGCTGTGCTTTGAGTCCCCACCCTCTGGGGTGAAAAGGGTAACGGAGATGACTTGGGGCACATTCCCCAAGCTTGTCCCTCATCGCAAACCTAGGGAATGGAGCTCCTACAGGACCCCTCAGGGGATTTGATGTGCGTCGCATGGTGGGGGGAGGGGGTGCACCAGAGCCCTGATGGCCACTTGGAAAATCCAAAAAGCAAAATCTGGGCCAGTAGCTTCTCTGCCAAGAACGGGGGCTATGCTGGGCAGCCCGCACCCCAACATTTGCCAGGACCAGGGTGTGTGAGTTACCCATGCACTAAATGTGGGGCAAACACATGGGGACCACGTGAGATCACCTCAAGTCTTATCCAGGAGGGAAACCCAGGTGGGGCTCAGAGGAAGGAGAGGTGAGGTCCCCAGCATCGCGGGAGAGCTGAGCCTGCCTCGGGAAGGAGGGAGCTCTCAACCTCAAACCGAGTTCTCCGTCTAGTCCTTGCTGTCTGGGAGACTTTGAATGACCCGAAAGTGGTCAGACAAGCCATGAAACCCCTGGGTTTTCAGCTGGGCAGGGGGAGAAGGAGCCCCTAGGTTTTCTCACCCCACAAAGGCGCAGAGCCCTTGCCTGCTGCCTGGCACCCACAGGACCAGGTGCTCAGCAGTTACAGCGACAACCCAGGGGCCAGGGGCAGCGGGGATCACTTTTGGCTCCTGCCTCAGATAAAAATCTCATTCTTATGTTCAGGCCCAGTAACCCTTCCAGCCTCATAGCCACTTTTGCAAGGGTTCGTTGGAGAGCATCCCTCGCCTGTCTAACTAGCACCCCTAATTCAGTATATTCGAAGCCAGTTCATCTTTTCTGTTCCTCCGCAGAGAAGGCAGGGACTTGCTTTCCTAGAATGTCCCATTTCAGCCAGTGCCACCGTTATCAACCTCTCCATGCACCCGGGCTCACTATTTTATGCATCGGTCACAACCAATGAGTGCCCAGGTCCTAAAGAAACCGCCACCCACGTCCCAGGACGGCAGCCACGCCCCCACGCTGGCAGGTGTGGCGTCCCTCCCCCGGGCTCCAGTTCCCACAGCAGCGAGGCCTCTGCACCCGTCAGCTCCCAGGCCTTTCGTCCCAAGGCCCAAGCGCTCGGCTGCCGGGCCATCGTCTCACCTGCTCTCGAAGGACTGGATGAGCTTACGACTTGGACTTCAGGCCGCACGTCTGCGACACTCCCTTGTGTTTCCGAGCACTTTTTCAGGTTGCAGAACTCCCACCGGACTCTCGGGTCGGTGGTGTAACACCAGGGCCCTTTGTCACTGTCCGGGTTCCTGCAGTAGTTCATGGTCAGGCCGCTGTGAAAGCCACACGAGAGGGCGTGAGCGCAAGGGGGTCCTCGGAGGCCGCCCGCACCCTCTGAATTTCATTTGAACAAAGTCTTTTTTTTAATAAGAGAAAGTTTATTTAGAAAGTCACGAAGGTAGAAGAAGTGAGCTGTAGAAGAAATGGGCTCAGGAAACCAGTTACTGCCAAAGAAGGGCCCTTGGAGCTTAGGAGAGAGAAGGGTAAAGGTAATGCGCCTGGGGGGAGAAGAGGGGAGGGAAGACTCAGAGAGAGAGAGAGACAGAGAGAGACACAGAGAGAAAGACAGAGAGACACAGAGAGAGAGAGACAGAGACAGAGAGCGAGCGACAGAAAGAGACAGAGACAGAAAGAGATAGACAGAGACAGAGAGAGACAGAGAGAGAGACAGAGACAGAGAGACAGAGATAGACAGAGACAGAAAGAGAGGCAGACAGAGAGACAGAGAGAGAGACAGAGACAGAGAGAGACAGAGACAGAGAGACACAGAGAGACACAGAGAGACAGAGAGAGAGAGAGATAGAGACAGAGAGAGAGCGACAGAGAGACAGAGACAGAGACAGAGACAGAGACTTAACCAAGTCTTAACAATGGACTTTGAAATATTTCCATTAAAGACACCAAAGGTGGTAATTATTATTACAACGCCACAAGCACAGGTTCTCAGTGTCACCACAATTTAAAAACTACATTATAATTTTTATTTAACAAATCAAAATTAACATATACTTCATATAAAAACTAAAATGACATATAAATGTGTAAAGAAAGTATCAGAATGTCTCCTTTCCCTGGGAAATGTATTTAACATTCCCAAGGATAACGAATGTGGATTTTGAGGCATATATTTTGGACTCTTTTTTATGCACATACACATAATTCTGTATCTCTGTCTACGCCTCTCTATGACGACATGGGGCTGTGAAAGCTGGAGCCAAAATGTATTTCCTCCAAGGAAGAAATGACATTCAAGGTGATGGGCCACCAGGTCAGCCTTCCTAGTCTATATACTCATAACCTCGTGAAAATGTTGTGCGTTTACAATGAAAATAAAACAAACATGAACCTAATGTAACTGTAAATATCACATCTGGTAGGTCAAATGGGTTCAGGACTTGAAAGACTTCTAGAAGCCGGCTGGAAAACTAGCTCCCAGGCCCAATGTCATTTCTATAGGCTGCATTCTGGGGGAGGGGGGGAACCCCACACTGTTCTCACCCCACCCACCTGTCTCACCTGCCTTGTTGCGGCCACTCAGGGACTGGGCCCTGAGACCGAAGAGCAGTGGGACCGAGGGATGGAGAGAGACATCTGGGTAGACTAGGGGACTTGGGGAGCTGAGGTTTTCATGGAGGGCGTATGGGTAAGAAACATAGCAGGCGAGGAACCTGGGACGCTGGGTGATTCGGTCCCCCAAGGACCCCCCAGAACATTGCCCCAGCCTTGCAGAATTCTCAGCCTTGGAATCAGTCCCCTTTCCAACTCAGACCCATGACCCGTGGCTGTCTGGGAACATTTGCAACGTGTTATATATGTGGGAATCGGACTCCATATCTGTAGATAACAGAGAATGGCGGTCTCGGGCTTGGCCCACAATTTGAGGAAGCCAGTCAGCGGGTGTCTGAGCAGTTGAGTGTGTTAAAAGATCTATTCATTTATGCAAAAAGGCTGGCCTGGTCAGAGCTGGTCTTCTGCCCACCTACCTGCCTGTTTCCTATCAGCACCTGTATACTTCCCGACTCTCGTCTGTCTTCCTGTGTTTTCTCTTCATGTCCTGGCAACTCATATCCCTTCAGACCACTAGCGCTCAGGCTCAGATGTGTCTGGACAGGTCAGGTCATAGACACTGTGACCCAGTGACACACACAAGCTTCGCTTCAGGGATGGGAGGCTGGAATGACCAAATCCCACAGTTGACAGGCTGCCTTGACTTTCAGCAGGCGTGGCGGACGGTACTGCTGCTGATCTTTGGGTCGTTTGTCATCCTGAGCTTTCCACTACTATGACCTTGACACCTTCTTATTCCCCAACCCCCTAGCTTCCACAAAACTACTCAGGAAAGATAGCCCCCATCTTATCTTCTTGCAGAGCTTTTGCTAAAAAACAAGGCGCCTGAGACACTTGGCCTCATATTCTAGAGCCAAGAGAAGTTTGGCTCTAAGACGTTAGCTTAAATGTGGCCTTGCTAACAAACTGAAGCTCCTCTTATGCTTAAAAATAAAAGACATACGCATCGGGGTAGTTTTCTGGGGTCTTCCCGTGCCGGTGTGGTGTCATGGACAACCAAGATTGACATTTCCTTCCGGTGATCGTGGTGGATGAGGTGCCTCGGTAACTCTGTCCATTGCCCTGGTAGCACTCCTCAACCACAGGAGTTTGCTCGGGTGGGGCTGAAATGGAAGTAGAAGAAACCAGTGAACAGTGACTAGAACAGGGAAATAAGTGACGGGATAGATGAGACTAACAGAACCGTAGTGTCTGGTTGTGAATTAACACTATTGCGTATTCACAGGCAGATGGACATGCAAAGAAAAGAACAGATCCGTAACACTCTAGGATTTTAATAACTCAACTTTTTTGGTAAATGTTTTGTTTAAAACTCAGTGGGGAAAAAAACATAAGCAGGTCAGAGTGCTAGTAATTGGAAACTGTACTAATATGCAACCTCTTTTTTTAAGAACCTACACTGGGTATTCAGGCAACTGGGTAGAGTACAGCAGGAGACACACTCCACGCGCAGCTGCAGGCGGGGATGGGCTGCCAGTGGGGGCACACGGGAATCCTTTCCCCAGACTCTTATCCAAAGCCAAAGCCTTGAGCTGCTGCAGGTGGAGCAGGAAACGGGCCACTACTTCAGGGAGGAGGGGCCAAAGTTCAAACAAGACAAGAAGAAATAGCAAACTCGATGGTAGATTTAAATTCAACCATATTTACAATTACATTAAATGCAAATGGTCTAAACACCTCCGCAAAAAGGCTGAGAAACACGATGTGCCATACAAACACCAGTGCGGGTAGAGCTGCGTTTGTCGTACGCACATCGGCTTACATAAACCTCAAGAGGGGAACAGTTCCAGAGACAAGGAGAGACATGAGGCTAAAGGGGTCCTTCTGCAAGAAAACACAGCGATCCTACAGGTGTCTGTCTAGCCAAGAGCTCCAGAATCTATGAAGCAAACAGCAAACCAAAAAGAAATAGATCGATGCACAGCGAGCGCGGGAGACACCGCTGCTCACCTCTCAGTCACAGCTAGGACAGGAGGTGGGAGACCCGCAAGGCTGGGGAGGAGCTCAGCAGCGCTGATCCACCTCACCGACCGGCCGTGATTTGCAGAACGCTCTCCCCAGCAGCAGCGGGAGCCACGTTCTTTTCAAGAGCACGTGAAAGATTCACCAAGACGACCATACCCTGAACCATAAAACACGCCTCCACAAGTTTAAAATCATAGCAATCCCGGAGCACGTTCTCTGACCAGACGGAATTCAGCCGTCGACAGTGCTGCGGTGTCCTGGGCCTGCACCAGAGCAGAGCGCCTCGGAGAGCACCGTCCCCTTACCCACCTGTGGTGTCCGGCTGCTCTGTGGACAGCGGGGAGGACTCGCAGGACGGGATCTTGCAGTGCTCCCACCGCACCTCACTGTTGGTCGTGTAGCACCACGGGGCCGATTCTCCGTCAGGGTTACGGCAGTAGTTTTCCTCCAGGTTCCTGGGGGAAAAGAAGTGATTGTGCGTTCAGCTTTCCACAGGGCTAACTAAATATCAAGGTGCACACAGGCTTATCCGTAGGGACACTGGGCGCGTATCCGGCTAATTCTCCAGAATTACATAAGCTGACGATGGGAGGAAACATGACAGACTCTTGTCGGGTCAACGATGAAAACATATTCCCTGACTGTGTGTAGTCAGGCAAAGCAGCTCTGCACCGTGTTGGGCACGGTGCTGTATGCTGAACACAAGGGGTATTTTCCACAGTGTTCCTGCCTCAAAAAGTATATCAAACGTAGCCCTGGGGTTTGTGTTCTCCAAACTTAACTGTGCCGGGACCCACTCCTTTCAGGTTCTGATTTAGTAGATCTGGAGTGGGGCCCCAAAAGTTGCATTTCTAACAAAAATCCTGCTGCTGGCCAGAACCTCACTTTGAGAACCAGTGTTACAGGGCAATCAAGACTGAATTTCACCGCCCCCTGCGCAGGACTTGGCCAGTTTTCACTGCAGAACACTTTACCTGTAGTCACTCGAGCTAAAGGAAAGTCAGCGGGACCCCACACTCGGTTCAGCCCCGGGGAACGAGCCCAGAGGTGGACTTACTTGCAGGGAAAGTTTTCTGGGGTCCTGTTGTGCTTGTGAGGCGTCTGTTCGCTCCAGCGCTGGCAAGTGTGCCCGGAGAGAGTGACAGCCACGTTCCCAGCATAGCTCTCGCCTCTTCCCTTCAGACACTGATACGTGGGGCCGGAAGGCGGCGGGGGTGTTGCTTGAATGGGGATAATAAATTACGGTGAATAGTTTTTAAAGGGAGGGTGCACAGGTGGATGGGGTGGGGGGTGCAGGTAGGTGGCATCAGCCTGGCTGCTTTTCTGTTCACCCTCTCTCGGAACTCGGCACTGGAAAATTGTTTGTCATTTTTAGAAGAAGCTGGCTTGGTGGAGTCAACGTCTACAAGATCGTCCCATGAGGAACTCCTCCAGGGGCAAGGTCCTTGGAGGCCAGGCTTCTTCCGATTTCCTCTCTCCGTTTGTCCTTGGTGCTAAGGACCAGCGTGTCACCCTCACCCCGAATCCTCACATACACCCGCGGCCCAGCTTCCTTTGTGAAGAATGAATTATCCACTGAGTAAACGTAACTAAAGGACACCCACCATTCCCCAAGCCAACGGGGAGCCCACGGAAAGGGGGCCAAGGCGCGCCTCCGAGGGGGAGCTGGGCATCCGGAAATCGCGCGATTCCGGAGGAGAAACGGAAACAAGGTGACAGAAAGAGAAAGCGATGTTCAGAAAGAAGGAGAGCACCTGAGGCACCTCAGTGCCCCCAAAGGGTGACTGTCGCACCCAAGAACAGGACGCCCACCTGCAGGGCCCCCTGAGCCCTTCTAACTCCGGTGACTGTCCTTGTGCAACGTTGAGGCCTCGGCTTCAACTTCTCACGGAAGAAAAAGATTATAAAACTGTGTCTTTCAGGCCTTTCCCACTAAGCCAGCCGGCTCGCCTTCCCCGCCCCGAGCTCTCTCCTCCCATCGCTCACTCACGGGGGGACGCCCTGGAAACGGGGCGTCAGAGACGCCGCTTGTTTACAAAGCGACGATCGGACAGGCGCTCGTTGGCATGAAACCCGTGTGCGGGAAGCAGGTCTGACCTCCCTCTATCAGAGCCACTGCCTTCAGGAGCCCACATTCAACCGTCTTAGACGGGAAATGAAACAAAACCCGCGGTCGACGGACGCTCTGACGATGGCCGACAGTACCCAGTAGGTTGCTTTACAAGAGCAACCACGTCCCGCCGCATGTATCGGGCACTTTCGAGGCACAGCCTCAGGCACAGGTACGTGCTTCGTTCTCGATGCCAGGAGCCAGAGGGGGAGGCCCTGCGGGCTGGGGGGGCCGTACTCACTGCAGCGCGGGATGTCGCAGAATTCCCAGCGTTTGCTGGGATCGGTGGTGAAACACCATGGCCGGGGCTCCCCGTCAGGGTTGCGACAGTAATTCATCTTCAAGTTCTTGCTTGGAAATCTGAAAGTGGGCAAGAAGGATTTTAATAACACTGACCCTTTCCAGAGAAGAATCATTTTAAATGAGCAAATATTGAGCACCTGCTAGGCACAGTCAAGCTCCCAGGGAGGTGGCCGGAGGAAGGCTGTCCTCAAAGAGATGACAACCTCATAAGGAAGATGAGCTCAGTGGTCTAAGGACTATCTTCCTAACAGTTTACATGTGTAAGTCACAGAACAGGATGAGTAACTTTATAATTTTGGCCGTCTGGAAGATTGATGTAAGCAAACCCCAGTTATTGGATCGCAAATCAGAGCAATTTAAAAAACACAAGGTACTTGGTAGTTGCCATCTTCAGAGCTTAAAGAAACCTGGTCTACCAGGGCCTGGTCCTGCTAGCCTTTAACTTATAGAAACAGAAAGGGGCAGGCTGGGCTCCTGTGAGCACCCGGCCCAGTGGTGCAGGCCAGAGAGCCCCCCAGCAGGACCTGGGCTGAGACCGCGAGATGCTTGCCAGGCCCGTGGCCCTCTGGGCTTATTGCACGTGCCCCTCCGAGGCTGGACCTGCTCACTGGGGATGGGCTAAGCGAACAGCAGGGGCCTCAACAGTCTTCTTCCATGTCCCGGACGTGCATTTACCCGGGCCAGGGCCACGAGGCCTTTTCCGTATATTTCTTCTTTAATGGAAAAGGCAACTGCTGTGTTGCTTAACTATTTGGAATGGGAGGTACAGAGATTCTGTGGAGCTGTTCTCCACCGTGAAATCCGGGGCTTAGTCTCGTTCCTTAAGCGCTGGGATGCTCCCACAGTCGTCAGAGAGTGGAGAGAAAGATCGGAAGCAGCTACAGACAGGGGGTGTCTTCCAGGAAGGGGGGAGGTTCCCCAGGTCAGGGACTCTCATTCCTATTGTACGTCCATGGCCCCTTTGAGAATCTAGCGAAAGTTGGGAATCCTTGCCCCAGAAAAATGCACCGATGTGAATATACATGAAACATTGAGGGGTTCATAGAACCCCCAAAGCCCAGGAGGTTAGGAAGCGTTGACGCTCATCGGTAGGAAGGGAAAGGCAAAGAACAGAGAGAAGAGAAAAACATTGGGGGAATGCACAAGTGAGATGCATCCGTGTTTCTCAAATCTCCATGTGCACACACACCGGCCGGGACTTGGGTTACGACTCAGACCCGGCTGCAGGGGCCTGAGGCTCTGCCTGTCCGACCGGCGCCCAGGCCCACGCTGTGCGGCGCAGGGGTGCAGCTTCCCTGGCAGCCACGTGGGCAGAGGCAGACGCGGAGGCTGGGAAACATCAGCTATGAAAGAATCTCAAGGACTGTGAAAGAATCTAAGCCTCATCGAGTGCCCCGCGGAGCGGCAGGGTCGCGAGCACTGGACGCCTTCCCGGCGCGACTTACTTGGAGGGCAGGTAGCCGTGGGCGTGCGGGGTCTGCGAGTCCCAGGCCTGGCATTCAAGCCCAGACTTGGTCTTGGAAATTTTCCCCTCGTATTTTTCTCCGCTGCAGTGCATACATTCATCTGGGCGGGCGCGCAGGGAGACGAGAGAGAGAGAAGCCGAGATGGGTGAAGCACGGCAGAGAGACCTGGAGCCCCCCTAAAAGCGTCTCAGTCGCCGCTGGCCCTTGCCCATAGGTACCGACCGGCAATCACTTGGCAATAAAATTGGCACCGAAGACTCCGTTTTCTAACACAACCTAAAATGCCGCTCTTCCCTTCAAACGGTGAAATGAGCATATTTTGGTCAAGGCCCCCTCAACGATTATAGTCAGGACCAAATTCAGAAAGTCCACAGTGCCACGTCCTCAGGCTGGGGTGCACTGGCCCCTGGCCGGGCGGAGGGACCGAGGGGGGGCTGGGGGAGGGGCTGGAGAGGGTCCCATTTATTAGAAGTCCGAAACTTCTCTACTGAGATTTTTAAGCATTTGGTGTCTTCGTTTCAATAGGGCTCTTAAGCCATTTCTAAGGAATTATCTGATCGTGGGGATGGCTGCGTCCCCAGGATTCGCATGCTGGGGTTCTGTTTGTGCTCATGACCTCGCTGGGGAACGCTATTCGCCTAAAGTGACACAGTTCTCTTTTTTATGATTGAGAAGCACAGCTGGCTGTCCTTTGCTTTCTTGTATTATTGAAAAGCAGACTCTTTGATGGGAATTATTGAAATAACATGGCACAGCAGCACGGTAACCTATGACTTTGTGTCACGGAGTAATAAGGGAAAAAAGAGTCAGACTTGGTATGAGGATGACGCGTTCATGTCCGTGACGGGACAGATGGCCTCGTGACATAGTATACAAAGGAGGAGTCCCCAGAACTGAAGTGGACAGAGCGANGACAGATGGCCTCGTGACATAGTACACAAAGGAGGAGTCCCCAGAACTGAAGTGGACAGAGCGATGGGGACCTGAGCTGTCACAGGTGGCTGCACAAATCCCGTCCTCCATCGGCCCCTTGCACCAACAAATGGAGCAGGGAATGTGAGATGCAGAACATTTTTTTCCAGTGGGATGTTTTGAGTTTCTAGGATTGACTTCTGAGGTGTGCTATTAAATTGGTTGGTTCATTAAAATAACAAACTGCTGATTTGAAAACTGGCTCATGGCTTAGCTTCAGCGCAACAACCAAGTCTCTGCATTAATATTGTTTATTTGAATTGTACTGATTTTGTGGTTTTATCTGGGCGATTTAACTGCAAATCTGTTTTGTCTTTTTACTGTGCCCAGCTTAAGCATGGGGCGTTCGTATCTGGAGTCTACATGTAGTTTTATATTTGTACACATTGAAGAAACGTTTTTGTAAAAGTGATTCCGGTCAATACGGGGAGGGGGTGTTCTGAGCAAGTTCCACCCTTTCCACGAGGTTCATATACCCCTCAGTGCCGTCAGCAGGGCACTAAATGATGAGCCACAACGGCCCCGGGGGAAATCCCTGTGCGGGTGGGGGGCCAGGTGAGAGCCGCGCCTACCTTCGCACTCGGGAATGTCGCAGTAGTCGAACCTGGTGTCGGGGTCGGTGGTGTAGCACCAGGGCCCCTTCACGTCGTTGTCTGGGTTCCTGCAGTAGTTTTCCTCCAGGCCCTCTGAGGGGTGGCTGGTGGGCGAGTACCTGTGCGGGTGGAAAGGAGTTACTCTGGTTGCACCTTAAACACCCGCCTGTTATCAGCAGCGCAGCACGAGGTGCCCCCTATTTCCCATCCCGAGTTCGAGGTCCTGCGTCCTGATGCTGGAGGCTCAGTGCCGCCGATCTTCCATTTGCCTACGGCTACGCTCACGTTACCACTATTGCTGCAGCGACAGGCGCTCTCAAGCAGCAGCGCCAAGCTGTCTGGCGCACAGGCGTGGAAACAATGTCTCCGCGCCCGCTGCCTCCCTGGCTCGCCCACGCCTGCCCTGTCAGCTGCCTGGCTCTGTAAGAACGACGGCCTTCCACACCCTTCCACCCGTGGGAACAACGCTCCCGGGTTACCCGGAAACCTCTCTCTGCCTTCTCTCGGTTAGTCTTAACGAAAACCCCGGCCAGGAAGGGGCTCTGCCTGTTCTACAGATGAGAAAACTGAGACGCCGCAGCGGAAAACCAAACATGTCTGGCTAAACGTAAGCAAGGTCGGAACAGTTCGCAAGTAGACTCTCGGGAACTTAAGACAGATCTGCCTGATTCCAAACACCGCCTCTCTCGGAAACGCCGCCAGGTTCGATGGGGGAGTGTGTGCGGGGGAGGTGGGGGGTGTTAAGCTCATTTTCAGTTCTAGAGATGAGTTGCTTCCTAGAGATAACAAATTAGCTCAAAAGCCCAAGACTTGGAGTCGAAAGGCAGGCTTTGTTTCTGATTCTTCTATGCTCCTGTCTCTGGTAGATTGAACCCTAGTTTCCTCACCTGCCTGCGTAGAGATGGCCTAGATTATCTCTAAGGCCCTTGACAGCTACAATTTGGCCATTCGGTTTAATCGTTTGACCCCTATAAGCCCTAATGCCCCAAGAATATTAGATCTTCCCAGCACGAGGGGATACAGTGAAGGCAATTTGTTGGGGTGGGGGCGGGGTCACAGGCACCAGATCCTACTAGGTATAGATGAGCTTTGTTACTGAGACCTTAATGCTTCCTAATGTCCTATTGGGAGACATACAATAAGAGTGACACTCAAATAAACAGGCCAATTGCAGGATAATCCATTTTTTCATTTATATTTTATTTGCTCCTTTGCCCCACAACCTGAGGTGGACACCTGGTGAGAGTTCTAATTTGGTAGGTGTGATTTCAGCGAATTTAGTCCTAAGCGTGGCCATCTTTGGTCTTCTCTGACTCAGCCTAGGATTCATGGTTTTGTGGTTCTATATTTTTACTAGGCATCCTTCTGTGATCTCGGCCTTCTAGAAAAGCGCACACACAGAGTGAATGGGGAACAACCATTTTCCGCTTGTTGGCTATAAATAATTAACCCTTTCACATCGGCACCAATAAGGTTCTCCCTGTCCCCATTTGCTCACCTGTTCTGGTTGCGTTTAGAGGCAATGGGCTCATTCTACGTGCACTAGGTGAACACAGAGATGAAAGAGAAAGCCTTACTTAGGGACGTGCGGGAAGCTGTCACTCCATTTTTGGCAGGCAACCCCCTTTCTCGTTTTGGACACCATCCCCCGGTAGTTCCTTCCGTGTCCGGTCTTGCACTCTGAAAGATATACTGAAAAGGCCACGCAGCGGTCAGTCCCTTCCCAGCAAGGAAGTCCAGGCCCAGCCCTGCGTCACGGCGAGGGAAGGGACTTGTACGGCCGATGACACGGGGGTCCTCCTACCCAAGGTCGTCTTTTTTATCTATGTCAGAGCTGCAGCTAACGGAGCTGCTCGGGGCTTTGGTCCAGTTATTCAAAGCTGTAGCCCCTCCGTGCAACGGGCACCACGCTAGGGGCTGGGGGCACATGGGGTGTGGAACAGGGGAGGCCCTACAATTGTGCAGCTTACACTCCAGTGGAGTCAGGGGGCCGGTCACAGAAAGTGATCAAGGGTGCAGCCTCACGGTGACATGTGTGACCGAGAACATAAACAGCTTGTTGGCAAGTGAAGGCAGTTGGGATAAAGGCCTTCAGACAGGGTGGGCAGTGGGCTTTTCAGGGGCCAAAAGCGATCCAGGCCACCTCACTTTTTTGAGGCTCCCAGTATTTTAAATAAGAAAAGCGTCAAACAGGGTTATAAAATTGTGGCCTATTTTAAATGTTGACGGTAGACGCTCTCAAACAGCCGCCACTTAACCTGCTCAGAGGTTAGGGCCTCCATGCTGTCCTTAAAACACACTGTCAGGGGCCCACCTGTGTCCCATGTGTTTTAGGGTGGCCACCTGTGGCCAGCAGGCCACTTTCCAGTGTGCCCGCCCACTTCCAGTCCCACTAGTTAGGTTATATGCTTACAATTGACAAGGGTCAATTATTTTTATTGTCAAAACTTTTTATATAGCTGTATTTGATTAGAGATGATCTAAACTGAGCTGGCGCCATACATTTTTATTACAATATTCTAAACTGAGAAATGAAGGAAAAAAGGCTTCTTTTTAACTGAGTTGAATGCGTGTAAAGACTTGAAAGAGCTGAACAGTTTTAAAAATTGCTATAAGTCCACTGAGGGCATCCACTCATATAGCTGACTATGTAAGTTTTCTGGGGGGAGATCATAAAAATATACAGGTGTTTTATAGTCAGAATGATGGATAGATGTCTTTAGACCTGGCTCCACTTCAAAGAGCAGAAGCCGGATTATGGTAGACAAGGCACTTAGAGAGCCGTTTATGCAAGAAACACACCAGGTAACTCCTGTTGGTGCCAATGTTCAAGGACAAAAAACCTCCACCCAAAATGTGTCCATGTAACTTGTGTTTTCAATGAAAATATAAACCATTTCAGGTATGTTTGTATCACCTTTCCTGATTCCCCACTTTAGCCAGGTTTTAAAATTAATTGATCAGTTATCTGGGGAAAGCGTTTCTAACACACCTGTAGCACTTTCAACCCCACTGTCTGCATAAAGATTGCAAGTAGATCTTCACTGAGATACATTGTTACAGTAGACATATGGTACTTATCCAAAGTGTAAACTCAAGGCCCTTTCAAGGCCCAGGGGTCAGGGCAGACTTTGAAAAGGAGGTGGGGCTGGAGCTGAGACCTGGGAGATGAGAAGGAACTGGTCAGGGAAGGGACAGAAGAGGGCCCCAGGCAGCAGGGGGGGGCCTGGCATGTTACCGGACCATGTGTAAGCCTAGTGAGCCGGCACTTGGGGGGCGGTGTTCACTGACTCAGGGCCCTGGATCGTTTGGTGAACATTTGGATTTTTTGGTTATTGTTGTTAATCTTCACCCAAGGATATTTTTTCCCCCATTGATTATTAGAGAGAGTGGAAGGGAAGGAGGGAGGGGGAGAGAGAGAGGGAAAGAGAGAAACATCGATGTGAGAGAGACACATCGATTGGTTGCCTCCCACACACACCACGACCGGGGCTGGGAATTGAACCTGTAACCCAGGTATGTGCCCTTGACTGGGACTCGAACCTGAGACCCTTTGGTGCCCGGGCTGAAGCTCTAACCACTGAGCCACATGGGCCAGGGCAGGCATTTGGATTTTACTGCAAGGGCCCTAAGGCTTTGAAGCAGGGCTGTCACAGACCAGCCACTGCAGTGGCCCAGCCAGTGACGATGGCAGCTGAGACCCGGCTGGTGCCAGTGGCCATGGCAGCAAGCGGGAGATGTTCCATGTGACACTGTTCCCAGAAAAACGCTGGCAGGTAATTGAGCAGCGGCGGGTTGATATTCCGCAGTAAAGAAACAAGTGCCCCCAAATGACTGACTTTTGACTTTTTACCTCTCCTTTGTTTGTATGTACCTGCCAGAGTTTATATAACCTTTTGCTCCTTTCCATCGCCTGGAAAACAGGCAACTACAATGATTCAAACTAAGGCCAGCGGTCACCCCCATGTCCCTTCTGGTTAACAATTTACAGGTGACATTACATGTTAGCGTTTGCAGGGAGAATCCCCCAGGCCCCCTTTTCTTTAACCTGGTGGGCAGGAGGTAATCCCGTGTATTCACTATCATCGTTTACTCACTATCTGTAAAGACTAGTAACTTCACCAGAGAGATTTTAGATCTAATGTGCACTTTAATCTCAAGAATTAAAGATAAACAGGCCCAGCCAGGTGGCTCGGTTGGTAGGAGCGTCGTCCGACACACCGAGAAGGTGGCGGTTCGATTCTCCGGTCGGGGCGCATACCTACGTTTCGGGTTTGATCCCCGGTCGGGGTGCGTATGTGGGAGGCAACCGGTCGATGTTTCTCTCTCTCTCTCCCTCCCTTTCTCTCTCTAAAATCAATAAACATATCCTCAGGTGAGGGTTAAAAAAAAAAAGATCAACAGCCGTCGGGAAGGGAGGGTTGCAGACACACACTCCTCTTTAAACCTTCGAAAGCCTTATCTGGAGTTCTGCAGTGGGACTGGAGAGCGCGTCGCAGGTCATTGTCAAGAGCACGTGAGACAGGATGTTCTTTGCTGCCTCGAGAGCCCGCGACACGGGGCATTTGGGGAGCTCGGTTGTTATAAATGGTCTTAATACCCCCCCCAACAACAGAGGTTAGGAGGGCGTTTTAAAACGTCATTCATTCACTTAAATCTTCATAAACAGTTCATGAACTTTTTCATATCTAAAAAAGCATGCGGTTTCCATGGGAATGCAGGCCGCCTGTCACCCTCAGCAGTGGGGCAGCTCATCTCAAGGGAATTCTCAAGGGAACTGTGGGAAAGAGCTGGCAACTCTGGTCCATTTTCTAAAGACAATATCAGAGGCCAGGGGAAGTACAGACCATGAACCCCCCCCCCCAAAGGAGAAATTTTAAGAATAAAAATAAAACTTTTGCCTCTATGAAAATGCTACTGAGGATATAAAACACTTCAGTGTGGTGTTTTTCCCCTCCAGGCTTCAGTCCCAAAGTCAGGGCCCAAAGACCATGGTCCTGCAGAATGAAAGGCCAGGATCATAAGGAATGTCTAGACTCCTGCCTCCTCCTTAAAAACAAAATAAAATTTGGAATACTTTACTTTCAGAGTCATAGCAGTAGACGTGATTTTGTAAATCTGATCCCTTCGTTTTTAAATTAAGAAGAATGAAACATAAAAGGTGAAGTAATAGACTCTAGTTGATATGGTAGGTTAGGGGTCCAATCTTGTCCTGACTCCCCATTTAATCTTGCTGCGCCCCAGGGCCCCCATTCTGTGGTCTGATAAATTAGATCTAAAGGAGGGGAAGGGGGAGGGGGCGGAGGGAAAAGAAAACATTGTACCCACTTCTCTTTTCAAATAAAACCACATCTCTCATCCTAAGCACCAGGGAAGACTTGCTGTTGTCAGCCATGATCACACAGTGCTGCTCTTTACTGTGATACTGGAACGACCTGCAGGGGAGAAACAGGAAACACGAGAGAAGTTTCTCTTTAATGAAGGGAAGCAAACTTTTATTAACAAGCAGGAGACTCGAAAGACAACTCTTAACTCTTGCTGCATCAAGGAGCTCAGAATTGTATCAACGAGATGCTGCAAAAACGATACATTGTTTCTTCTACCTTCACCTTCTCCCCCCTCTGGTCCTCCCAGGTCTCTTTCTGCTTCAGCTGCTCTGCTCTTTCCTCACTCCTGTTCTTAATTAAGTTCTGGAACATTTGCTTTTGTGTTAGAAAGAAGCCGTTCTGATCGCCTCCAACTTGTTTCCAAAACGGTCTGTGTGACTCCTGTAATTTTCCTTTGACTCCACCTCTACATTCTACCCCTTACCCTTGACCTCACGCCTCCTCGCCCATCCACGCGGTCCTGCCGTGGACATTTGGTCTGACATTCAAAGCCACCCACAGCTACCTTTCCAGCCCCCTTTGCTTTAGCCACCTTGGTCCATGCCACACCCTCTGCCTGGGATGCCTCCAGCCTCATCAGTGTTTACCAAGCTCCCACTGACCCTTCAAAGCCAGCTCAGTTCCCATCTCCTCCCTGAGGCCTTCCTAGCTCTATCCACCCTTAGGAATGTTTTTCCTCTGGATTTTATAGAGCACATGCTGATTATGTCACTCCCCCATACCTCACATTGGCTGTATTTTTTAAAATTTACATTTTATCCAATTTCTGTGACAACACCACGCTATAACTACAAAAGGCAAGGTTTGAATCTTGCATCTGTACAAAGACCTATCCTATCTAGGGCTACATCTCATATACACGGGATCACTGGATCTGTACTTCTTTGCTCAGTAGGGTCTAGGATACTTCCACACATGTGATCCTTAATAAGTACTTATTGATAATGATATTAAAATTGAGAGCTCAGAATAATAGTTGCTCGTGTCATATGTAAAAATAGAGAAGTTCCTTTGGGGGCATTTTTCTAAAGAAGGCACTCATAAGTTTAACAAGAAATTCTTTGTATGGATTCAGATACAGGGAGCAAATACGGATTCCAAACTCCAATCCTATTAAATCCTGTTCTTGTCAAGCCCGTGAGCAAGTTTCTTGATATGGAAATAACAGTGTCGCAAGCAGCCGGGTGCCTGCGTAGGCGCCGTGACAATGAAACTACCTGCAAGTGAAGTCTGTCTCCTCCTCGCATTTCTCCGCACACTCGGCCACGCTCCCCGCCTCCAGCTGCTTCTTGTCTAAAGTGATCAGCGACGCCCCCTGCGTGCCTACGTAGCTGTCCAGGGGGTCTCCGCACCCTGTGAACGGAGGGGAACGTGGGGTGACTGATGGCATTCATGGCCACCGTTGTGTGACCGTGGTGACTTTGTAGCCTGTTTGCTGTGTTATTGGATGGGGAGGCATGGCCGCAAATAACAAGCTTAGCCAGGAAAACAGCCCCATTAACACACCGCAGCCCATTGAAGACCCTCCGCATTGAGAGATCCGAGGGTTAGAAACCAGCCCGCAGCCTCCGTGTCGCTACATGAATGGGCGTGACGCCCTGAGGAAGGGTAAATTCAGGCTGTTTGCTGCTGGTTGCCGTGTCGCCAGAATGCCAGAGACCACCAGCGGCAGCTGGGTTACAATATAGGTGACGTGTTCATCCCTGGCTCCAGGAGGAGCTTGGAACCGTTACTTGATCTCCAACAGGCTAAACTCTGGTTGTCACATTGTCCCTTAAGCTGATGGGATAAGCATCCTCTGAACGGCTCCACTTGAGACACAACATTTTTGGTGAGTTGGTGGTGACTAGGGCCTGCACTCATCTCCATTTCAGTCCGAGGTCATTTTTGTGCTGGGCCCGGGAGAGGGACACGTCACTATCAATCAAAGAGAAATAAGTTCTTCCGTGACGATAGCAGGTATCTCGCATTTTGGAAGAAAATGTAAAAAAGCAGACAAATGCTAGTATAAGTTTTCTGTGAGATGAAACCTAAGGCCAAGATGCTGTCTTGAAGGTTGCTCTGCCCCTTGTTACTGAGGCCACGGGGGCCTGAGCCACGTTCCAGCTGCGAGGCCTCAGAGCGTCCCTGCTCTCGGGCCCCACGGGACCCCCGGCCCTGCCTTAGCAGCTCTGTCCCAGCCTGGAGAGGTCGGCCTCCATCCTTTGGGTTTGGAACACTAGTGATTTTCACAGGGTGAGAGGCCAAAGAGGTTAATAAAATACAGATAGCAAAGTTTCCTAAAGTTTGCCTAGATGGGATTGGGCAACATAGAACCTTGACCGCATTGAGGGGAGCGGTGGGGACCAAAGACAGGTGGAGGGACTGAAGAGCGGCCGGGAGGGGCAGTGGGAAGGGACAGGTCTTTTCAGAAGCTCGGCTGTGGCTGTGGGAGGAGCACTGGGTAGGGGGCATGTGCAGTCACGAGAACTTTCCAAAGAGGGGACATTCTAGAGCATGTCCGGTGCTGATGAAAATTCTCCATAGTGAAAATTATCATTAAGAGTCAGATTCCCCTTCTCAGAAAGGCCACCCTGAGCACCCGAACCCACACACACAGCACAGGGTGGGGCACTCAGCCGGACGGAGACAGAGCACCCCCGCCCCCTCCGTCCTTCCCAGTTTAGGACACTCCAGGCTGCCAGGGGGACACTGGACAGGACAGTGGCAGGTGCGATTTAAAGGTAATATGCAACAAGCCCTTGACAACTATGAGAAGATTATGGAGAAACGGGTATTTTAGACCAGTATCCATGCTGTCATTTTCTCCAACTTTGAGCTCTTACTTTTCTTTTTTTAAAATAATTTTTTTTTAAAATGTGTTTATTGATTTCAGAGAGAGGAAGGGAGAGAGATGATGACAGTCATTGATCGGCTGCCTTCTGCACGCCCCTTACCGGGAATCGAGCCTGTAACTGGGGCCTGTGCCCCGACCGGGAATCCAACTGTGACCTCCTGGTTCATAGGTCGACGCTCAACCACTGACCCAGTCCAGCTGGGCTGAGCTTTCGTTTCCAAAAAGAAAGCTTTTGGTAAACTCTATAGATCAGGATGTGATTTTAAAAAACAAACCAGTTAACTCTATAAAGCATATCCTATAAAGAGTTAAATTAAACGTTTGGAAGGGTTCTTAGAAAGTGGAGCGAGCTGGGGAATAAATGAGGTCCGAACAAGGAAATTTCCGTTCATGTCACCCCTTGATTAAGTTACCTTCAATTATGTTGTGTTGTTACTGTTCCTAGCACATGGCTGCTGAGGTCCACCCTGGGAACAAATGGCCTGAAGAGATATCCCCAACGAGATTTGTTTTCCATTTTGTTTAAAAAATTTCCCCCGGCGTGGCTCAGTGGTTGAGCCTCGACCTAGGATCCAGGAGATTGGGGTTCGATTCCCAGTCAGGGCACATGCCCGGGTTGCGGGCTAGGCGGCCGATCAATGACTCTCTCATCATTGATGTTTCTCTCTCTCTCTCCCTTCCTCTCTCTGAGATCAAGAAAGATATATTTTTTAAAAAATCCCCCCAAATATTTTATTTTATTCAGCTCTAGGACTCCCATGGCCACGGGGTGTAATGCACTTTATTTGTTGACCAGGAAACAGATCTTTTCAGGAAGAGAAGTATGTTTATATTCTAGGCCAATGTGGATGTATGTTCTACCAAGGCCCGTCTATTTTACTGATCACGCGGGTTGGTTTTTTTTCCGTCACTGTGGTATGTCCACGTGCCTGCCTCTGCCCGGGTGTCTGAAAGACAGGACCCAGCGGTTTGTGAAATGCAGATGCCTTGTCCACCTCTCACTGGAAACGGTTGTAAAAAAACAATCATCTTTTCTTTCCTGGGGGTGTCAGTGCATTGAAAAAAAGAAACCCTTCTCAGAAAGGGGGAGCAAATGCCTTTGTTTCAAAACGAGCGTCAGAGAGCCTTCCCCAGGTTGGCGAGGACTCGTTCGCCCTGCTGCAGAGGCGTCTGCTCTGACATCGGGTGTCCCGGCTCCTGCCTTCCGGCGGCGGGAGGAGGCGCAGACCTGCCTGTCCACACGCAACCGTTTCCCCGAAAACCTCTCGGCACCGCCTTCTGCTCTTCCTGTTCTTCGCTATTTCTTTGAATGGCTCCACTAAACTCAAACGTATTTGACTCTAGAGCACAGCTTGTAAAATTTCATCTGGCAATTTATAAACTTACTTTCAAGTCCCTACACACTGTTCACATGGAGAACTAGTTGCATACTGTATCATCCCATTTACCCGAAATGTCCAAAATAGGCCAATCAGAGACAGAAAGGAGACCAGGGGGATGGGGATGGGGTGACAACTAAGGGTGTGGAGTGTTTCGGGGGGAAATGTCCTAATATTTGCGACGGGTGCATCACTCCTGTAGTGGAAACCATTGGACTGTGTGCTTTAAATGGGCGAATTGTATTGCATGCGAATTGTATCAAAATACAGCTGTCCAGGGAAAAAGAGCTGTAAGGACCCGCTTACAATATTTTAAAGAACATTTAAACCAAGTAAAAAAAGTGCGAAGAGCCCTGGTTGAAATCCTGCTGTCTTCACCTCCTGGACTCGGGAGCTTGGTCAAGAGGCAAATTATGTGATTTTCCCAAGTATGGATTAAGCCGTCTGTGAAATGGGGCTGAATCTCCCCTCCCTATCCCACCGGCTAAGGGATCTGTAAAGGACACGCAGGGGTGTGTGTGTGTGTGTGAAACGGGCCGCCCCCCTCGAGCACCGAGCAGGGGCTGAATTGCCCTCTGACCACATCACCTGGCGAGTGGGGGCCTGGAGTCCTCCAGGCCCAGGAGCCAGCGCGTGTGCGGAAAGCTCTCCCGGACCCGGGCCAGCAGGAGGCCAGCAAACACAACCGCAGACCCACCAGGAGCGCGGTCATTTCATCGTTCGCATTTGAAAGGCAGGGAAATAGGACCTCTTCAGGAACAGGGCCCAAATGAATCAAACTGGGAACCCGGCAGAGAGACGAGCAACGTTTTGGGTTGTTAGCTATACATACGTGGGCTATTTTTTTCCAACAATAACAACTATTATTTGAACTCAATTTTTTACTTTTTTAAAAAAAACCAAAAACCACTCATTTTTTTTCTCTGCCCCTTTGTCTCCAGCATTTACAGGGAAACTAAACTCATTTCTGGACGAATTCCTCAATCTTACGTTTAGATGTTCAACTGGGAATCTCAGTAATCAAAAGCTAAATTAAGCCAGTCGCTCATAAAACCATCGTGTGTCTGTTTTTAACACATTGCTGGGGGGGCGGGAACCATAGTGATTAAAGTGAGAAAAATCTCGAAGTCTTACCTGATTTCAGGAATAAGAGAAGGAGAAGAACCACCTCCTTATGTTCCATTTTGGGACTGGCCAGCAGTGTCCCCACAGCCACGTCCCAACCCCAGGACGTGATTGACTAACGTGCCAGGCAGCGCAGCCACGGCAAGGGGACGGCAGGACGTTAATCATTAACCCAGGGCCCGTGGCCCTGTGCTCCGGGGGTTCAAACATCACCCGCGAGGGTCTTACAACATGTTTGAATCTGCAACAGCTGCTGGGAAGTGGCGCAAGCAGCCCCGCCCCCGGCCGCCTCCTTCCTTGCCTTGTCCCCGACCGTCACCTCTCCCGCTTGGTCTTGTGTCCTTCCGTCTTGGGCCATTCTCTTTCTTTTGGGTAAAATAAACCAGTCACGGGGGCAGCTGACATTTGCTGAGAGCGGTCCCGGCCGACGACGCGCACACGGCTCCATCCGGCCCTAGGCAGGCGGCGCTGTGCCATCCCCGCTTCGGATCAGGCTGACGGGGCTGAACCGGCAAGGGCGGCGCTCACAGACACAAACTATTTTTTATTATTTCTTAAAAACATGTTTTTATTGATTTCGGAGAGAGGAAGGGAGAGGGAGAGAGAGAGATGGAAACATCCATGATGAGGGAGCGTCATCGAATCATCCATCGGCTGCCGCCTGCAGGCCCCCGACTGGGGTCGAGCCCGCAACCCAGCACGTGCCCCGACTGGGAATCGAACCGCGATCTCCTGGTTCATGGGTTGACGCTCAACCACTTAGCCACACTGGCTGGGCTAGACACAAACTCTTTAGGCCTCAGATGACAGGTGTGAGCTCGGCATTGTCATTGGCACCCCCGCATCCTGCCAGTGTAGAAATCACTCGGTAAGCTATTTTATTATTATTAAAATTTATTTATGCCCAGTGGACTGCCATGTTTTCCATGATTATAAATGATGTTAGGAAAATATTGAAGTCGCAGTGCATCAGAGTCTCACCCTCACAAAATAAAGTGAGAGCGGCCAAATGATGTCTGAAGAGCCTGTCTCGATTTTAACTGTGAATTCTGTACTTTTCCCAGGCTTAAGGCTAAACTGAGAAGGAAGCACTTGCTTCAAAACTCCTATCCCTGCCCTGGCGGGCCAGTGTGGTCCAATCAGTTGACCGTTGTCTGAGGCACCAAAAGGTCTCTGGTTCAATTCTGGGTCAGGGCACATGCCCACATTTCAGGTTTGATCCCTGGTCAGGGTGTGTACAGGAGGAAGCCCATCGATATTTCTCTCTCTCCCTCTCCCTTCCTCTATCTAAAATCAATTTATATATATATAACTTCTATTCTTATTGAGTTCAATTCATTAAGTATTTATTGACCACCTACTGTGTACAGCATTGTTACATTCTTCTAGGATTATATAAAATGTACAAAGTACAGCCTCTGCCCTCCCCCAGCCCCCAGAAAACTTTGTACCTAAGATTGGTGGAGACAGCTGCAGCTGTGGCCAGGGGCAAGGACATTAAAATAAAATGGAAGATGAACCTAATTTCCTTTGCTCCGCCCAGCACGGGGCCTGCAATCAAGATCCATTCAGATTTTCTGGAGACAGGTTCTCATTTCCTTGAAGGTGGCTCTCACGTGTTCACTGAGCCTGCTCCTGCTGTGCTCTAGCCTCTGCTCCACAGCCTCCAGGACCAGGGAATGAAATGCTTCTCCGCCCTCAGCTCCCGCAAAGCGATAGCAAGGCCGCTGGGTTAGCGCTGGGTTAGCACAGGGTTAAACTGTAACCTGTCCCAGCACCGCCTAAGACCTGATTGTCTAGTTCCACGTTCAGCAAGCTGGTTATTTTCGTAACTGAGCTTTGCTTGCACAAATGGAGGTAGTCATTCATTTTTGAAAAACAATCACCCTTCATTGGACATCTCCTCGTCAGTCTTGTCATAAGCTTAAGATAAATATTAGCAGAGAAGCTACATTCCTGAGTCCACATTGGGACTCCTCAGAGACCCAGGCAAGTATCCCTTTGCATCCAATTCACTGCATAAGTCAAAGAGAGAAACCAAATGGTCCCTCCTGCCTCTAAAATTTGTTATTCTCTAAGGCTTAGTAAGCTAATTAAGACAAAAATCTTTCCCCACTGCACTTGGAAGAGACAAGGCATGCAGAAAGCATTAAAATCTTATAAGAAAAAATGAGTGCGTGTAAAAACTGGCAACATCTCAGCAAGGTCATGGACCAGTTCAACACGGGGTACCAATGGCAAATTCCTGGTGTTGACAATGAACTTGATAGTTGGCTGAGATGTTCCTTTAGTCTGGGTGGCGGGCTCGTGGGTACACTTACTAGTGATGGGGACTTCTCAGTGCTAGTTTTGTAATTTCAAGTGTGTTTATAATTATTTCAAAGTAAAAAGTAACAATATATGTCCATATCTGTATATATTTGTATATATGTAAATGTGCCTCCTGTTCGTAAATAAAATTGTATTGTCACACAGCCGCGCTGTCTTGACCATTGGCTGTGGCTGCATTTGCACGACCATGGCCAAGCTCAGTGGAGGTCACAGAGGCCAGCAAGCCTATAAAATATTGACTATCTGAATTTTTGCAAAAAAAGTTTACTAATGCCTGGTGTAGGGCTCAGGACACAGGTGTGGGCTGGAGATGTAGGGTCCCAGGGGTTGTGAGCGGGGACCTGGTGCTTAAACAGTCCGTGAGGAGGGTCACAGAGGGCCCGAGAGAAACACAAGGGGATGGCTGCCCAGAGATGGGGTCTGGACTCTAGCACCCAGCAGCCCCTCCAGCCTCTCAGGAGGGCCCCCTGTGACCTGGTTTGATCTTGTTTCCATGGGTGCCCTGTCCCAGGGGGCAGGCCGATGATTTGACTTCTGGCACCTCTTTCCTGCTGGAAACTGCCCGACTCTGATGGTTGGAGGGATGCTGGCCTCACCTGGCTATGTTTGGAGCACCTGAGAGACTCTGGCTGAGTTTGGGTGGGGACAGTGGAGGGAGCTCCAAGGAGAGAGTGACAGTGAGCTTGGTTTCCTATGGCAGGTAGGAGTGACAATGATGAACGACAAGGATTTAGTTTGCTAATGACTGTGCTTTAAAAAATTGTATTTGGCTCTCTCAAGAATTTGTGCCTGGCCCTTGAAGGCATCTGAGTTTGCAACCCTGGTTAGAACAAGAGAAGCAAATGAGGAGCATTAGGGGAGGGGACAGGAGTGGAATATTAGACTGGGGACAGATGATGGCC